CTCGAACTTTCTAAGCACGAGTGTTCAGTTTGTCGCTTCGGCTCTTTTATTCAGGAGTGGGGCAGGCGGTAGCGTAGTTGTTTGAGCCGTTATGCTGCAAGCCAGAACGGCGCGGTTTCGATTCCCTGTGAGGTCATCGGATTTTTCAATTCTTCTAATCCTTCCAGCCGCACTATGACCCTGGGATTCAATCAGCCTCTAACAGAAATGAGTACCAGGAATCTTCCTGGTAAGTAAAGGGCGACCGGTGTTTAAGGCTGACAACCTCACCAACATCTGTGGGCTTATTGGCTAGAAAATATGGAAACCTCGACGTCTCAAAACTCTATGGGCTTCCATGGCCTGTTACAGGGATACCTTTACCTTTTACCTTTCGTGTGGTTTCGAAGAGAAAATTCTCCGTCTCTGTAGAGATGGAACCCTTTTAGACGAACTGGATACTGCAGTACTAAAGATGATGATGATGACGACAACAATACTTGAAGACAGAAAAGGAACGTTTTTGCTGATTGACATTTTTGTGTCATGTGATAAATATGTTATGAAATGTTGAAGTACAAATATACACTAATTGGAGCACAGCAGAAGTGGACTACGAAAGTGAAGGTGGATACCAGCTGTCACTGATGTCGCTTGAAGGTTGTCGAGATCATTTCAGAAACTCTTAGAAAACGTCTGTGGTAAACATTCTAGAGCGAAATTATAGAACACGAGCATTCAGGAAACAGTAAACATCTTGAGGAAGATATTAACAGAGAACTTTATTTAATTTCGTAATTAGCCATGGCTCATAGACGGGATATCCTGTAATAACGTGTAAAATATAATTGTAATAATAACAACAAAAATATATTTATTTGTTTATTTATATGCTGACCTAACAGCCAAATGACCAATTACAAATAAGCACGAGTATAAAGGACCAAACACACACACACACAACAAAACAAAACAAAGGAACTCCGTGGTTTTAGTCCGTAAGCGAACTATACCGACCGAGCGACCGCCCCTTGTCGCCTCTGTGGTCTAGTGGTCAGAGTTCCTGGCTACAGATCCAGAAGTCCGGGTTCGATTCCCGGCGCTACCAGATTTTCTGAGAAGTAGTGGGTCTGGAACGGGGTCCACTCAGCCTCGTGAGGATAATTATGGAGCTATTTCAAGTAAATAGCGGCTTCGGTCTATAAAACTGAAATTAACGGCCGTGGGGATTTGTTGCGCTGACCACGCGACACCCTCTGTCCGCTAAAGTTGACACACACACAAATTAAAGAAAAATTGCGATTTATATCATTTAGATAGTAATAATTCCATTGACTCACATCGAAATTTTCGTTAAGAGGCGAGAAATAGAAATTGTGCCTTCACGCGGAATACAATTAAAATTCGAATAAGCAAAATTGCCATGGTTTTTGTAAAATACTTTTTGAGGCTTAATTTTCGTTGTAAATATATCACCGTCCCTAAACACACCATTAGCAGCTTTTGCGTATCTAGCAGAAGAACAATCTGTACTTGAAGAGCTGACATTGAACACAGAATAATCTCTGACATACTGAGAAAAGAGACTAACAGTATCTAGGAAGGAAGGACGGGCTTTGAGATAAGGGCAAACTTCAACGAGGAACGGTGCATCAAGGTAATGCCACTTCTTACGTAAAGTGTGGAGCTATGAGCATTGAAAAACATTAGCATAACTTGTAATGGACGTGGAGGAGTAATAGATTAAAACAGCACGCAACAACATAATTAAGTAAAGCTATCTCTGTAACAGGCCGTGAAGGCCCATAGGGTTGTGAGACGTTGAGGGTCCCACATTATCTAGACAATCGGCTCAAAGATGGCGGTAAGGTTGTCAGCCTTACGCGCCGGCCGCGCTTTACTCCCAGGAAAATTATTTACTTAATTCCTGGTACTCATTTCTGTTAGAGGCTGAGTAAACCCCAGGGCCATAGTGCGGCTGGAAGGATTAGGTCAATTAAAAAAAAAATCCAATGATCTCATCGGAACTTGAACCCGCGACCTTCTGGCTTGCAGCATAGCCCCTCAACCAACTAAAATAATAATAATAATAATAATAATAATAACAACAATAGCAACAGCAACAATAACAACAATGATGTCGTTTTTCGATTTTTTTTTCTTGCCGCGCTACAGCCCCAATTTGGGCCTAGGTCTACCTCCATGAAACTCTACGTTTCACTTCGGTTTACTAGATTTTACACATTCGGTACGACTCCTTGGACGGATGATCAGCTCGTCGCAAGGCCTATACCTGTACACAAACACAGAAAAACGCACATACACAAGAAACACTAAACATCCATGCCCTGAGTGGGATTCGAACCCACGATCCCGGCTTCCGAGCGAGCGAAGACAGTACATGCCCTAGACCGCTCGACTACTGTGACCGGCCTTTCGAATATTTACCAGACATTGTTTAACAGCCCTGTAAGCTAGCTATGATGAAGAAAGTGATAAGGTCAGACAAATTGATTGCACTGGGGCAATGCACCCTGGTGCGCGTAGGAGTACAAGTGGAACGCGAAAGTCCGACTGCGCAGTAACAGCAGTCATTCATTAATTTGTTTATATTACGAAACTCCTTTCGCTGAGTTGCGCTGGTCATGAGCTAGACCCAACAACTGGCGTCTCATTGGCCTAGGGTAGGAGACAGGGAAGGTCAGTGCTTCATAGGGCATTGGGAATGGGATAAGGATTTGCTCCTTTTGCTGGACTGAAACTTCAAGGTGACTTCCTATAATTGACCATCAACACATGCGGAGATGGTCAATTACAAGAAATGACCTTGGCAACACACACCGTGGACACGAGTTCATTCAAGACGTGAAACGTCCAAGTCAAAGCTTAATTCCTTCTTCATTGCATCATGGCATAGGCAATGTAGCATGTTTTGACTTCTCATATGCATTTTGTATTTCCCAAGGTCATTATCGGTCTCGGGGTCTTTTTCATTTATACTGTAGAATTTTCTTCTGTATGTTTTAATCTGTCACTCCATCCAAATGTTTATCCAGTTTTGTCTATGTTTATACATTATAACCGTCGTTTGCCCTAACGTTGGGCACCATTTTACTCTTGTAATCGACCCACTCAATAAGACTTCAATCCCCACACGTTGGTCGTCAATTTACTCTAATCGTCGATAGCCCTTACGTTGTGCTCCAACTTCTTGTGGTAACCGCCCGTTGTCTCCACTTACTTTAACTGTCGTCTCCGGCCGTCCGCTGGCTTTACCCTGCTCCACGTATCACCGTTTACACACCCCTGATCGTTGTTATAATAGGTTGTAATTTGGGCGTCAGTAAACTGATACTTTCAGTTTACTGATTCACGAAAGAGGTGAAGGATTCATGAGGGGTTGCTGTGGGATCCCGGGTTCGATTTCCGGCGCTACCAGATTTTCTGAGTTGTAGTGGGACTGGAACGGGGTCCACTCAGCCTCGTGACGATAGCTGAGGAGCTACTTGAATGGAAAAGTAGTGTCTACGGTCTAGAAAACCGAAATTAGCGGCTGTCGGGATTTGTTGCGCTGACTACGCGACACTCTCTATCCGCTAAAGTTGGCACTAACTTCGCCGACAAGAGGCGGTCGCTCTGCTGCTCGTTCGTTCGGTCGGAAGGAAGGAATTACCAACGCATATTGGAAGTAAATTACTAGTGGAAGCTCGAGAATTTGCTTCTACGTATATGACTGTTGAGAACTATAGTTATCAGAGTCTTGGGCCACTGGAAATAGATTCCTTAAAATGACGCGTTCTGAAGCTACCGGTGTCTATTCCCATTTCCAGCCCCAGTGCTATTTCTTTTTAAAATTGTCGATCATGTCATTCCATCTTTTGAAGTTCTTAAGACACCACATGTATTACACTAAGTGATTTTGTTCTCAGAAACGGCAGTGAGCGTCGCAGTAAGGATTTGTATCTTTTAAATCATCTTCCACACATTACTTATAAACACTGATACAATTATTACCTGAAAAACACTAGCAGAAGAAGATTGAGGTAAGATTCGAGCGAGATGTGTGTAGTATCTTTCTCTTAAGTCAGCGATCCGCAATTCCGAGAGATGCTTATGGAAGGGAGGATTAAATACGGGAACAATTAACTATTTCATCTAAATTTTACATTAAAAATCTATTACTCTCTCTTGGCCTCTCACCCCCCCCCACCCACCGATTTGGAACGACTNAAGACAATAACTAAGACCCCTATAATGTTACTTACGGCATCGACTATCGTCGCTAACGTAGTAATGGCTTTTCCTTAGTTCCTCCTAGGAAAGCACCTAGAAAAACAATTAAGGCCACGGTTTTCTGGGACGTGGCTACCTTCAGCTTTAGGGTGTGCGTTCAACCCTGAAGATAGAAACAGTGTATTTGTTCACTGTTTCTTGTGGGTAGAGGGGAGCATATGCCGAAACTAGAACGTACTTTGGAAAAGCATCTGAAGAAACATGTCCGCTACTACATTAGATCTGGAGCCAAATCAGGGAACGCCGTTAACAGCAAACAGACCTTGGACAGAATTGTGCCGTTACTGAAGAAATACGAAGTCAGTATTAAAGAAATAATATAATGGAATTCACCAATTGAGAAATATATGTAAAGAATTGCAGGAGATCCGTGGAGCACATCGACAATGTTCTTGGGCTACCTTTATGTAGTTGTGACATCCTCCTTATCGTAGGAAGACAATCTGATGCAAATATATTTTGTGTTATATTTTAATTACGTATCATGAATCGAGCGGCTCACGATCCACTAGTTGTTAACTTTTCTTCATGAAGATGAAAATATTCTAGTAATGAGCTGTTGTTTGTATCCCTGAATGTGGTATGTGAATTTTTTAATACAAGTAAGCCGCTCAACTTGTGTTTTTGTTTTTCTTTTGTCTGTGATTCAACCTACTACGGTCAACTACTATCAACCACCATCTTGAGACTCCGCGATGCCAGCGCTGCCACGAGGAATGTTATGAAGTTACAATTACGGATGGTTAGTGTGTGTGGATCGTGTGGATAATATTTTCTCGTGTTACGTACGTAACTTGTTTCTGTTATTCCTAGGCCATTTCCATTGTGCTGGTTCCTCAGCGATGGACGATATATAACACGTTACAATATGAAACAGTAGAGGGATTGTTAAAGTTGTTATCGTAAATGAAATTGGTCTTCGCTTTGTTTAGAACATTTACTGTGTGACGTTTGGTAAAAAGTGTTTGTAAAGAACATTTACTGTTTGACGTTTTAGTAAAAGGTGTTTTAAAAATGGCTGTACCCCCAGCAGCATTGGTAAACAGGAATAAGAAACATTTTATGGGAGTTCCAGCTCCTTTAGGTTATGTTGCTGGCGTTGGACGAGGTGCAACTGGCTTCACAACTCGATCTGATATTGGTCCTGCCAGAGATGCAAACGACGTGTCCGATGATAGACATGCACCACCAAGCAAACGCAAGAAAGGCCATCAGAAGGAGGAGGAGGAAGATGATGATGAAGATCTAAACGATTCCAACTACGATGAGTTTTCAGGTTATGGGGGATCTTTGTTTAGTAAGGATCCATACGACAAGGATGATGAGGAAGCGGATGCCATCTACGAAGCCATCGATAAACGAATGGATGAAAAAAGGAAAGAATACCGAGAAAAGAGACTGAAAGAGGAGTTGGAAAGATATCGACAGGAACGCCCCAAAATCCAACAACAGTTTAGTGACTTGAAGCGAGGTTTGGTGTCGGTTACAGAAGATGAATGGCGTAACGTTCCCGAGGTGGGTGATGCAAGGAATCGTAAGCTGAGAAATCCTCGTTCTGAAAAATTCACCCCCCTGCCAGACTCGGTCCTGGCTCGTAATCTAGGTGGAGAGACTGCTACTGCCATCGACCCTGCTAGTGGACTTGCTAGTGCTTTTCCATCTGGGACAGCTACAGGTATGCTTACCCCTACTGGAGACCTGGACTTGTGTAAGATTGGACAGGCACGTAACACATTGATGAACGTTAAGCTGAGTCAAGTGTCTGACTCTGTTGAAGGCCAGACAGTTGTGGATCCAAAAGGTTACTTGACAGATCTCCAGAGTATGATTCCTACATATGGTGGGGACATAAATGATATTAAAAAGGCCCGTTTACTTCTTAAGTCTGTACGTGAAACAAATCCAAATCATCCACCTGCTTGGATTGCCTCTGCCAGGCTGGAGGAGGTTACTGGGAAGGTACAGGCCGCTAGGAACCTTATTATGAAGGGCTGTGAGGTAAATCCTAAGTCTGAGGACCTTTGGTTGGAGGCAGCTAGGTTGCAGCCACATGACACTGCACGAGCAGTAATTGCCCAAGCTGTACGGCACATTCCGACATCTGTCCGCATCTGGATTAAAGCTGCAGATTTGGAGCAGGAGATGAAGGCAAAGCGTCGGGTGTATCGCAAGGCGCTAGAGCATATCCCCAACTCAGTTAGACTGTGGAAGGCAGCTGTGGAGCTTGAAGATCCAGAAGATGCCAGGATTCTTCTCAGCAGAGCAGTAGAGTGTTGTCCCACTAGTGTGGACCTGTGGCTAGCCCTAGCCAGGCTTGAGACATATGAAAATGCTCGTAAGGTTTTGAATAAAGCCCGTGAGAACATCCCAACAGATCGTCAGATTTGGACCACAGCAGCAAAGCTGGAGGAGGCAAATGGTAACAATCACATGGTGGACAAGATTATTGAAAGGGCCATAACATCTCTGACTTCTAATGGTGTGGAGATTAATCGCGATCATTGGTTCAAGGAAGCAGTTGAGGCTGAGAAGTCTGGTTCTGTGCACTGCTGCCAGGTGCTGGTCCGGGCCATCATTGGTCAAGGCGTGGAGGAGGAGGATAGAAAGCATACTTGGATGGAGGATGCTGAGGCATGTGCGGCGCAGGGAGCGTATGAATGCGCACGGGCTGTATATGCCCATGCACTGGCCACATTCCCCAGTAAAAAATCTATTTGGTTGAGAGCAGCCTACTTTGAGAAGAATCATGGCACACGAGAATCATTGGAGGCACTGCTGCAGCGTGCTGTGGCCCACTGTCCCAAATCTGAAGTGCTGTGGCTGATGGGAGCCAAATCCAAGTGGATGGCAGGGGATGTGCCAGCTGCTCGTGGCATCCTCTCACTTGCATTCCAGGCCAACCCTAATTCAGAAGAAATCTGGCTCGCTGCTGTCAAGTTGGAGTCTGAAAATTCAGAGTATGAACGAGCACGTCGTCTGCTAGCTAAGGCCCGCGCTTCTGCCCCAACACCAAGAGTAATGATGAAATCTGCAAAACTGGAATGGGCCCTAGACAATCTGGATCAGTCCCTCATGTTACTGGAGGAAGCCATAAAGGTGTTCCCTGAATTTGCCAAGCTGTGGCTTATGAAGGGGCAGATAGAGGAGCAGCAAGGGAAGGTGGACAAGGCATGGGAGACTTACAATGCTGGCATCAAGAAGTGCCCCACCTCAGTACCTCTCTGGAAGCTCTTGGCATCCCTGGAGGAGCGGAGGGGTATGCTGACGAAGGCACGGTCTGTTCTTGAGAAAGGGCGACTACGAAATCCAAAATGTGCACAGCTGTGGCTGGAAGCTATTAGGTTTGAGTTTCGTGCTGGACTGCGAGACATAGCAAACACTCTGATGGCAAAGGCTCTTCAGGAATGTCCCAATGCCGGTATCCTGTGGGCAGAAGCAATATTCCTTGAGTTACGACCGCAGCGCAAGACGAAGAGTGTGGATGCTCTGAAAAAGTGTGAGCATGACCCACACATCCTTTTGGCTGTTTCAAAGTTATTTTGGTGTGAGAGAAAAATACAGAAATGCAGGGAGTGGTTCAACAGAACAGTGAAAATTGAGCCGGATTTGGGAGATGCATGGGCCTATTTTTACAAGTTTGAGCTGCTCAATGGTTCTGAAGAGCAGCAGGAGGAGGTAAAGAAACGGTGTGTTGCTGCTGAGCCCCACCATGGTGAACATTGGTGTAAGGTGTCAAAGGACATACGCAACTGGCGTCTCAATTCAGACGATATCCTTGTGATGGTGGCCAAAGACCTCCCAATTCCAGTATAAAGTGAGGTGTGTAGTTTCTGTTTTTCATAACATACTTTTGTACACTACCAGCTGAATGGAAGGCATGGTAACCATTTTTGTTTTCTCTGTGTTTAGAAAAGTGGTAACTAGTTTGTTAGTGCTATATAATACACTTTGCTGTTAACCTTTTGATTGGTAATGTATGTGGTAAAAATGTAAATTAATATACATTATTTGCCTGATGTGCATAAACAAAACATATATAGGGTAGTTAATTTCTCGCTCCGCCCACGTTTCAGCTAGAGAACTGCTCAGTGGATTTAGGTTAAGTTTGATATGAATGTCATCAGAAACCACCCAAAACTTGTAACTTTTAAGTTCATATAAGTGGTAATACAACATGGTACATGTACTTTCTAAGTTGGATGCTACACTAGTGCCAGTTCAGAAATGCTGTAACTATAGCACGCAGTAGTAACCCTAGGAATCACAGTATCGATCATTGTAATTAATATTGTTAGTGTCTTTGTCAAAACTACATGGGCCAACAAGAGGCATTAGGAATTCCATAGTTCCAAGAATGTGTGGGAACTGCCCACGCAATGTTATATAAAAAAAGTGAGGTATGGGTGTTGCAAGCAATAGTATTGTTGGTACTATACTATTAGTCTTCAGTTCTTCAAACCGAAGTGTGTTGGACTGCATAGAAAACATGTTGCTGTCCATGTTGTTGTGGGGTTTGCCAAGCAACAGCTGTTTACTTGCCATTGCTAAGCAGTGACACTTGCGTTGTCTCTGTAATGTGTGCTTGAATGTGGCAGTTCCCACAAATGCATATGGAAACTGTGTGTACTCCTGTACCGATTGCAGCATTCTGGTCTCATGTGGCTACTTTTAAGATAATCTGCCCCTACCAGGAAGACTGTCCTGCTGTATGCTGGTTGGGAGTTCCGTACTATAGTCTCTACTGTGGTCAGGCCCTCATGTGATTTGAGGGTCTCATTATGATGAATATTGTATTCCGATGTGTGATGCTATGTATTCTGGTAATTGTTTGCCAGTGTCTGCAGAAACATGCTGCTTCCCTCTTCAGAGTACTGCTATGCTGTTACATCCCAGAAGACTGCATGCTTTATTGTAATAAAATTTGACCCCTAGACACATCTAATTCATTATGGTCAGTATTTGTAACTTGTGATCCTTGTAGATTCTAAAGAGTACCGAGGTTCGCATATTACTGCGTTTTTGGACTTTGTCCATTATCCAGTGTTCTAGAACTAGAAAAATTCTCAGAAATTGGATCTGTTTCTGTCCTCGTGTGAAGGGAAGGGGGAATCCAGTGATTGAGGTTAACCCTTTTTAAGGGATCCAACAGAGTAGGTGTCTTCCTCCCCTCACCTGAGGATGGAAACAAGTCCAGTTTCCAAAATATTGTTTTTTCTAGTTTCTAGAATACCAGACATTGGACAAAGTCCAAAAACCTAGTAATTCTAATGTGATTCTGGCATCACAGTTTTTTCTTCTGGCATCATTTCTACTTTATATGTATCTGTGTATGCAGAGTCTTCAGTCTCTTTCTTCTTTCCAGAGGCTCTTTTGATTACTTTCCAGTTTTTTCTTTTCTTTGTGAGGTCATCTGGATCATCTCATAGATCTGTTTCCCTTAAACGTTAATTTGAATATCCATCTTAATATTATCATTCTATTCAGTCTTTTTACAAACCATTGTAATCAGTTCTGTAAGTCTATTAAGAAATATCTTAATTCCAACTTTTCTAAAAATCTCTCTTATTTCTGTCCCTTCTTTTTTTGCCTCAGTACTTTCCAGAAATTTTGAACCCATTGCCTTCTATTGTAAATCACTAATAAGAGCTGCTAGCCTGCAGCTAGTACACTGTTGATGATGCAATTTATTTTATTTTTCCCATAATCAGGAAATGCAAAGTGTATACACTTTAAATTAATGCCAGTGTAAATCCAGGAATAACAGCAAGTGATGGGTGACCCAGACAAAGCATATTTTTATCAAAGTGAAGTTAAAAATACTTCTCTGTCCTTGATGTTCATCAAAGGGCTGAAGATTGATGTGTAGACTCACTGATCAGTGTTGTGATCTAGTAGCATTGTGATGTCTCTTGCTGAACTTATAGAAATGCACTCAGTGAGCAACATCCATTACATCATAATTTTTAAGTAGAGACCCCATTGTTTTTGTTGACATTAGTCTCTGTTACATGCTCATGTTGTGCTTAAAGATTCTGATTTGTTGTACATTTTCCCTTGTATGTATGAAATAAATGCATAAGATTTTACTGGATCAGAATATAACCTTTTATTTGTGATTTAAATACAGACTCTGTGAGTAATTATACTGTCAGATGGTAGAAAGGTTAATGAATAATGCATTGGAAAGGATGTGGAAGGCAGTGGTTGAGGCATAATTTGAGGTAGTATCCTGGCCTTTACCTGTGGACTATAGGCAGGATGATTAGTAGGGTGTGATATTCAGCAGGGGTAGAACTAGTTCACCGTATACAACTCTGAATGAATGTTCTGTGACCCCCACCCAGCCTCCTAAGCAAGGAGTATGGGTGTCTCTTCCCACTGGGTGAAGTGACTGGGTGACAGAGCTTACCTGTCCCCTTCATATAGTGCTGAGGTTAAGAATGCATATGGATATACCTCTGTTCTCCCATTTCAGAATGGCATGGTACTTAGTTAAGCTTATTACTTTTGGTAAAATGAAGATGAACTATTATTGGCTCGTATTAGTTACCATTCTCTGTGTGTATCTTGTCTATAGGCATTTACAGCACGTCTGTGACATCATCGCATGTCACGTTTGTTCTGGGTCCATGCCTGTTGATCTCTGGGACTACCACAAAGACAGTAAGAATCAGTCCAGTGGCTGATGTTCCAGCATAAAACCAGAATGTTCCAAATGGATGGATTGTGTCTATCATGAACACTAGAAATTTGTCAGCAGTTATTTCCAGTAACCAGTGAAGTCCCCCTGTGAGGCTGATGATTGAGGGACGGAGAGGTGTTGGAGTGAAATGAAAGGCAGTAATAAAAGCTTGGGACCCAACTCCAAACCAAAACACAGTTTGAAATAAGAGGTGTATCACTAGTGGCAACCATGGCACTGCCCACATCCAATTCTCACCTTGTTCCAGACAAAAGAGGCACATCCCTGTGGCACAAAGTGCTATAGATATCATTGCAGTTGAGGTGATGAGAGAGAGACATTGGAATGTACTTCTGCCTGCCACAAAAAGCATTCCTGATGCAATGCCTACTGCAACAACTCGTATAGAGGCCCTCACGACAGACAGACTGATAGTTTTTTCAGTAATAAAGTCACCTGCAAACTTGAACACCCACTTTGAGTAGAAGTCATGTATGTGCACACCGCTTGCACCTGGCAAGCTCAGCAAACACGTTGCTACTGATAATGCACGGAGATATGTTTTCACAACTGCAGTGTTTGTCTTAGTGGCACAGAACTGTTCCTCATCCTTTTGAAACCAGAGTAGTAACTGATGGATATCATGGTATGTGTTGCTGTGCCCCTTCAGGAAGTGAAGTGATCCCTTTGCCTGTTCCACTCTCTGCCCAAAGAGTAGTAGCCATCGTGGAGATTCACTTGTGAGGCACAGACCAAGTGCAGACATTGTCATGATTGTAGCTGGGATGAGGTGCAAATACTGAGTGTTGGGTGAGATGAGGAAGATTTGTGCCAGCAGGTTTCCTATGGCAGCAGACAGCTCTGTGGTCACAATAAGGGCTGAGGCAGTTTTGGTGTTTGTATATATGTTTTGAGGTAAACCTGGAACATCGAAGCTTCATTAAGCATTCTCTTCACAGTGGATACAGGAAAGAGCTTGTTATACATTTTATAGAACTCTTAGAAGCCTGAAATTCATGTAAATAGTACAAGTATGTAGTATTTAAGAATATAGTTCATATCCCACAGAAAACTATTCATCTCTGTTACAAAGGCCAACAAATTAATGATGTTTAGGGAAGTAACCACCGTTTATTTTGAGAATCATACATAAATACACTCTGGGGAAAAGATGGAGAGTTATTTGAATGTTAAATTGTAGTGGTACATTTAGTAACCACTGTACTCTAAAGGCATAGTTAGGTCTATAAATTTTAGATCCAAAAAGGTTAATGTGTATTGGGAAAATTAATTTAATTTTGATTAATGTGCCACAATAAGTTGCTATTCTAGCCCATGTATCTTGATTTAAGAAAGTCTGGGAACATCTTACATAACCAGTACAAATTATTACTGCAATCTCTTCTGCAGTGGACCCAGAGTCTACTATACTGAGACTAGATCAATCCTATGCACAATTCCCTTGTGCTGTTATGTTTCCTTCTCCGTTGTACTTCACTATATTCCCCTCCATTCAAGCCATTATATTCACACAAATGCTGGAAGTAATAGCCTTTGTCAGTAACAAGTACTTTGGCTTGGTACACACCAAAAGAGGCTGGAGTGGAATAGAATGTTAGGCAGAAAGGGTGAATCCCCAAGTACAGCTACTCTCACCATCCAAGTGACTTTTCTGTAGCCTCAGTATAATTACGTAAAAAATCTATTTGCCAATATTTATGAAGCGTGTTTCCTGCAAATATTTTTGTACTTACTATTGAAGTCTGTTAACTATTCGCTTAGTAGGGGGTGGAGTCCAACTGGGTCCACTCAGCATGGCGGCCAATGATTGGCCTATTGTAGCCTGTTCCAGGTGATTATGATGACGGAGAATTTGGTGGAATGAAGATTGGCAGGGGAGACTGAAGTACTTGGAGGAAACCCGCCCCAGTGCCACTTTGTCTGCCACAAACCCCACTTGACCAGACCTGGGATCGAACCCAGTCCGCCACAGTGGGAAGCCAGCAACTAACCACTTGAGCTATGGTGTGGCCTATGTATGTTAACTAACTCATAGTGTGTGGGCAAAGTTGTATCTGTAGCCCTGTATTCACTGTTAATAATTCTGATATGGATGAAGGCTGTGCCATAGGTCAAATGGTTAAACACTGGTTTTTAACCATGAATCCATGGTTTAAATCGCAGGTGACTTCATGTGAGATTCATGGTAAATGAAGTGACATTTGAACAGGTTTTTTTTGTCAATTATCTCCCCCTGTAATCATTTCACCCTTGCTGCATACTCATCTGAGGTGTGTGATAGCAATGACTAGATATCATGTTGTCACAACAAGTTTGGCACTTCACTTCTGACTGACTCTTCACTGGGCACAGAATAAGGAAGTGAGTTGTCTTGGTAGTCCCGTCAAAGGGAAATGTTATACCATTTGTGACAGTGACAGGTCTTACGCATGATCTCCAAGAGGTAGATTGGTACAGCGGAGAAACTGACTCCCAGAGCAGCTCCCTGGAGGGTGACCCCCAACAGCAGGATAGGAGACACTGCTTTGGCTACGTGGTGGAACATAAACATGAGGCAACATCCAGCAGTGAGCAGTGGTGCCATCACAAGCTGCAGAGTGGCTCGGCGACCCAAATAATGTAGAGGAAGCCATGATAAAAGGCACCCAAGTAATGCACCAGCCATTGGAAACATCTCTGCAAGCATAATCAGACTGTACCAGTTCTTTTCTGTTGACATTTTGATTGTCATTGGGATTTTTTATACTCTGTTCATATTACTATGTTGGGACATGTTTTTATGGTATGAATTGTCATGGACACTGACCAATATTGTAGTATGTACACGTCTATGAGACACAGTCCCCTGACACATTCATGACCATGCCCAATACTGGGATGTTACCTGGAAGGCTAGCCATTTTTTCTACAAAAACTGGATTTTGAAGTTCTCTGTTCAAAGTGGAAGTGAACAAGTGAAAAACAGTTAGTAATGTCCATGTGTTTTGGCTCTTTAGTGATATCTGTATGAGGAATTAAATTTATTTTCAAGTGACAACAGCCCCATCACTTGATGGGATTGGCACTGGTACACAGTAAACTTAAATCCATCAAGCAACAGGATTGGCACTGATGAGTGCGGGTGACATGATAACATATCCAAGTATTAAAGCGCAGAATTAGTACCATCTGTGTCAGCTAGGTATAGGGTTGGAAGAGAGACCGCTGGCTTCTCTGGCAGTGAAGTAAATATTCAGCACAGGCTTTGTGTCCTTTGTAGCATTCATCTTGTTAAGGCACTTAGGTTATACAGAACTGAATGATAGGATCATTTATGAATTATAAAATTGTCAGGCCTGTGGTGGATGCAGCCACGACATATCCAAGCTTTTGAATCGTGAGGCTGAGGAAAACCACAGCCACCATATTCAAACTGTCTCTGTAGATCACCTAGCATCCTATCTAAAGGTTATTTGGAATTACAGAAGCTAGAACTTGAGGCTCACCATTCATCGACACCTAGTACCTCCAGTTCTGCTGTGCACCTTCAGAGCACAAAGCTGTAACTTTCAGACTGGTCTGAGTGTTGGAACATACCTATCCAGGCCCGTAATGCTGGACTGTCTGTTAGTTGACGAGATACTGTGGTGAGCTGCTGCTTGCTATACACTTGTGCGAAGCTGCATGCCAGGCAGCTTGAGCCACATAGAACCACAACTTTCAGCTGCAATATAAAGAAAACTAAGGTTCTCACAGCAGTCACTATTAAGATTAGTCTTCTGGGGTGTAGTGCCAGTAGTTCAGTAAATAGGTACAAGTGTTATGGAGGAACCTGCCTCCATCATTCGGTACATAATATCAAATTATAAGGCATTACATCCAAGAAGACTGCAGTTATAGTAAACAGAATTAATTCATATATATTGTGGCCTTTTAGGTTATGACACTGTTGTCTGGTAGGTAAGTACCGATATATCAGGCGAACACATTACTGTATCTTCAGGGCCAGGAGGAGGCAGTATGTTCCTCTAGAACCTTCTACCAGACTTCATGGTGTCATGACCCTGAAGCCCACAATATGAATTTGCAACAGTAAATTTGTACTTACAATAAATGGACATATAGATCAGTGACTTATCTGAATTCACAAAGAAGGTGCATGAAAATTGTTGTCCAACTGGAATACAGCTTTCCAGACTGCATTAAAAATATTTCACATAAAGGTTTGCCTGTAATAAGATAATTTTTGAGCATGTTCATCTGCAAGTAATGCTCCAGATTCTTTATTCAGAATGTTCTCAGTTTGAATCTCAGCTAAGACACTGGCTATCCTGACTGAGCTTTTTCATGGTTTTCCTCGGTCCCCCTGGCAAATGCCGGGATGGTACCTCAGGTGGGTCATGAGTACGTCCTTTTGATTCTTTTTCAGTTCATAAGTCATCTGACACTGCATAGTCTAGTTACTGAAGTAATAAACTGCAAAGAAAAAACAAATTGACACCTTCTTCGTATGTCTTGACCAAAGCATAGTGTAAGACTTCCTGAAATGTCCATATACGTTTATGATAATACATTATGCACTTTCTAGTTACCTGCCACTTCATGGCTGCTGCTGTCTTTGCACATGTTCCCCCAGACACTGGTCACTGCACTACATCTCTCTGTCCAAGATTCTGAGTCACAGTGATCCGGTACAGTTTACACTATCAAGGCCATATCTGTCTTTCACTTTCTTCTTCACAACATGAGTACACCACAAGACAATATCAAGCCAACTTCTGTGGCTAGGTTTTCTGGTCTCTGGAGTCTGTGTAGCTCATTTAGTATAGTGACTAGACTACAGGCTGGACAACTGAGGTTACATTTCTGACAGGGGCAGAGACTTTTCTCTTCACCACTACCTCCATCTGAACCCATCCATCCACCTTCAAGTCCACTTCCCCCCAAGTGCTGAGGTTAAGAATTTGTGGAGTTATACCTCTGCTGTCCTATATATTTTCATAGCATGATGAATTAAGTTCGGTTTTTGGACCCACTGATCCTCGTAACCAATGAATACTTGGGACACTTTTCTCAGGGCAAAGTGGTTGAGGCATGAGGCTGGCTGATCATCTCGCATGCAGTGCTAAGTGTGAGGAGCTTTACCTCCACTCTCCCATATGTCTCCATGCCATGGTACCTGGTTAAGTATAGGGGCAAGTTTACTGTGTGTCTGTGGTCTTAATTTATTGATATAAATGTCTTTTCATGGGAGGACATCATTTTCTTCACTTCCTGTATCATTTAACAGCAATTGGACTGAATCTGTTTAATGTAAGATTTTGAAATGTTGTATTACAATGTGTGAAAGATTCGGTTTTTATTCATGAGGCCGAGATGTACAGGACACATAGAATTTCTTGGAAAATTGAGAAATATATGCAAAAGTTTGATTGAAAAACTTGAAAGAAAGAAACAACTGAGTAGACCTAGGCATAGATGGGAAAATAATAATAATAAAATGTATCAAAAATAAATAGGGTATGAAGGTGTAGACTCAATGGAAATTATACAGGATATGCTTGAATGTGAACACAGTAATGAACATTTGGGTTCTATAAAAGCAGGAAATTTATTGATCAGCTGAGCGATTATCAGCTTTCAAGGAAGATCCTGTACCTAGGAGTCTGTTCAGTTTTATTATAAATATTGACAGACAGCTGAGTCATTGGGATGGATGGCTATGATTCAGTCATCTGCAATGTCTCTGGGATAATTGTAAAGATTACTGTGTTATGAGATGTGACACAAAGCAGTCTGGTACATGTTCACTTACATTTTGGAGGAACATGTCCTCATCAGAGTGAAGGTCTATCAGACTACACGGCATCAAATCCCAGAAGATAATAATCTTAATAGTCTCTGACATGAGAACCTCAAATGTAAATGAGATTATTTGTTATAACACCAAAAATGCTGTTGGTAACACCCCTGCTTCATATTCAGGAGGGTATTTTATATTTTTGTTTGGAGAGTGAATAAGTTCTGTGGTTTTAGTGCCTCCAAATAAATGCCAGGATGGAACATCAGATTAGTACATGACTACTCCCACATCAGGGGCATGCAGTAGTGTAGTTGCTTGAGGCACTGTGTTACAAGCTAGAAGTTCATGGGTTCGATTCTGGATGAGGTCATTGGATTTTTTTTTCAATTTACCTAGTTCTTCCAGCCGCACTGTGGCCTTGGGGTCAACTCAGCCTCTAACAGAAATGAGTACCAGGAAACTTCCTGGGAGGTGAATGGCGGCTGGCACATAGGGCTGACAGCCTAACCACCATTTCTGGCCTGATTGTCTAGAAAATGTGGGAGCCTCAACATCTCAACCTTATGGGCCTTAACAGCATTTTACAGGGATAGCTTTACTTTTTTACCTACTCACACATCCTTTCCAGTTCAGTATTTACCCACATCATATAACACAACATAATGTGAGATGTTTAAAACGTTAAATAAACCATAAGTAAATAAACTGCCACTGTTGCTACAAATATTTTGAGCACCTGTGCTATTGCTGTTACTACTGTCATTCACCATTGTTATTATCATCATCATTATCAATCTTAAATTGCTACTGTTGTAGCCATATTATTGGCCAGCCCTAAGCCAGGCTAGTGTAACACAGCCTCATGATGACATTATGGAAGGAAGAATGTAGTGTCACATTTTTAACGAGCTCAAATGGACAGCAATTTTGTCTCAGTCTAGAGGGAGGGTGATTTATTGGCCTCTCAGCTAACTCACAGCTGAGGGAATGAGTGAATGTCTTCACTTGAATGACTCATGTTCTTTATCCTCAGTTGTATCACACTGTCAGACACACAGTACTTCAAGGCAGACCATGTGATAGTTCAAACAGTTAATTGGTGGCCTCTCCCCTTGACAGCCCAGCTTTAATTTCAAAAGTTCATGTGGGATCTTTGGGAGGAAAGTGGAAATAGAACAGATTTTCTCTGAGTACTTCAATGTCCCCTGCTAATTCTTATTCTACCAAATTGTTGGGGTTGGGTTGGTACAGTAGGCCACTTAAGGTCTAAGTACCAAAATGACTCATTCTCACCCCACTCTAACTAGCTAACTGATTATATGGAGTTGAGTCCTTCTTGAGAAGCTGCCAGTCGCTCAGTTACTCAAGAATTTCCCAACATTTTATGGAACCCAAAAGCTCATTACTCTGTTCACAAGAGCCTTCAACTGGTCCTCATCCTGAGCCAGATCAATCGATTCCATACCACCCCATCATATTTCTCTAAGATCCATTTCAGTATTATTCTTCCACCTGTGTCTTTGTCTTCTTAGTGGTCTCTTTCCTTCTGTATTTCCCATCATAATCATATATATATTCTTCTTGATGCATGCTACATGTCCTGCCCCTGTCATGCTCTTTGACTTTGATCATTCTAATTATACTTTGTGAAGAACAAAAGCTGTGAAGGTCCTCATTATGCAATATCACCCCCACCCTAAGAATAAAAAACATGATCCTTCAAGGTGAGGTGGATAAATACAAAGAGGGAGGTAGGAAAATATTACACATTGTTGGTATTGTGGAGAAAAGCCTGGAACAGTGGTGTAGACTAAGATGAACAGAACTGATGCTAGTAGAATAACTCAACAGTAAACTGGACATATATAGTTAAACATTTTACTAAACAGAAGAGAGTTACACAATGCAGGAACTGCAATACATACCTGCACATGCAGTCATGCACACGCACGCGCACACACAGAGCGAAAATGTGCGTGTTTCAACAAAATCCAGCAAATTTGAACTAGTTTAAACAAAAATTTAAGAGAGTGAAGTAGAAAAATCAATACAGCCTAGCAACTACATGAAAATATCTACCTGATGATGTCATAAGGTCGAAACATGCTGTAGAAGACTTGTTTTAAAAAAGTGACAATAATGTACACCAATAGTCTACAAGCAAGATGACAAGTGGCACCTTCAGACTGCCCCCGGAAATTAAATCATTAAATAGTGGAACAGGATGCTGAAATATATTATTTGCTGATATTACATTGTTAAATAAACCTGTGGAAAACAGATGAAAATATATCAGTATAAAAATATTTATATATTTTATGTCCATTTAAAGTCGCTGTCAGTAGCTCAAACTATATGGCACTGAATGATAGGATGATTAGTGAATACTGAATTAGAAAGGTTGTGGAAGGAAACCACCAAAAACCCTTTGGATTCTCTGCTGAGATTCAAACTGGGTAACTACTGAATACAAATCAGAAGTGTTACCACTTCAGCCATCTTGCTTAGTGTTTAGAAATATTACACAGGTTATTCTGGCAGTCTAGTAATAAGATCTATAACCACTACTTGAAAATTTTTTTGATATAGTGAATATATGATGGAGAAATTATGCATTCCTGTATGATGAGCAATATCTGTACTGTTGAATAATTTCATGTAATATTAAAAAAAAATCAGCTCACAAGAAACACTGCATCTCCACAACAAAAGTCAACCACTTAATGTTGTATGAAGAAGTAATTGCTATTTATTCTAAGAATCATATGAAACGTACAAATACCCTGTGTGGGAAAAATGCAGAGCTTTTTAATATTAAAGCAAGAGGGATCTAAGAGTTACCACTATGTTTTAAGAGGTTTGGACCTATTAAGAATGAACACAGAGATGCAAGATTATAAAGAAAGTATTTGGAAAATTTCTGCTCTTGTATTATACTGCCTCTCAATGTCTTGATGATGAAAACTGTCCCATGTTTTCATATCTGAAATTGTACCATTGTGTTAGAATTTAACTGATAGATTTCATAATCATTCAAATACAGCAATCTTGCATCTTCTGTTCAGCCTGACAACAAAAATATTTTCAAGAGCATATAATACATGAAGATACATCACATAATAAGAATTTTAAGAGTTACGTTACACATTAACATTAAAATGAAATATGTTATTTTGGAAACATTTTGTATGTGATATTTTTAAAAACTACAGAATGAATTTTGTTTTTGAAGAGTACAACCTTCTGGGTTGTAATATCATGTAGTTCATGGGGGTCCAAGCTTTCTGGGTGCTTATTGCTGATTCCTTTCCTGGCTTATATTTTGGCCCTTAAGATGGAGGTGATACATTCCTCCAAAATGTCAGTGCACTTTAACCGAATTGAACGAGATTGCAACTGAGATGACACTCTTCACAATCACCACTGTGTAAACCTTAAATCCAGATTATCTTTTTATAGTAAAAAGCATACAGTAGCTAATGTGCTTGTGTAACATGTATCTTTGATAACAATCCTGGGATTTAAAGATGTCAGTTTGAATTAAATTGCAGATTTGAGTGGAATATTTGGATAATTATAAAATTAATTAAAGCTGTCCTTTAGTGGTGCCAGAGCACATGTGTCTAATCTATGGTCGCAGTAAATGACGTGGTGTTCTGACGTCATGTAAGGTAAAAGAGCCCGACATGATATAGTGTAGCTCAAAGTCAGATCAGGCAAGCATGCGGCAAGGGTCAGGCTGTCCATACACTGTATTCCTGCCTTCCGGCAGACATGTTTCTGATGTGTGTTTGATACTTCCGAGACTTCATTCATGGTTGGACTTGACACTGATACAAGATGCTCAGGCTCCTCTGTTTCTGCTGTTGGTAATATTGTTGTGCTTTTAAATCCTGACTTGTCAACTGTAGGTTGAGGAATTAAGGCTTCAGAGAGAAGTTCAACTGTTGTGTTTGTACCTGGGGTTTGTAGATTGAAGTGTAGTTCTGTGGTGCTGCCATTGTCTGCTTCCTGAATGTTTAATGCGGGTATCTGTTTGGATACAGGGATTATGACATCTGTGAATGGAGGGTCTGAGACAAGCCCTGTGGTGTGGGAGGCAGGAATTGTGGTACCAGGGTTGAGGTTTGTGGTCTCTGCATATATAATTTCAGGGACAGGAGCAGCAGTGGTTCTGCTAATGATTTTTGAGACAGGGGTTGTAGTTTTTGTAGCTTCGGTTGTTTCTGTGTGTACAGTTACAGGGACAGGATAAGCGGTTTCTCCGTCTGAGATAGACTTTGTGGTTTTTGTGGTTACAGTTTCATGTATAGAAAAATCAGTTTCCATGTGAATTAAGTTGGAGACAGGGTTCATGATTTCTGTGTGTATAGTTTCAGGGACAGGAGAAGTGGTTTCCTTGTGAATGAATTTGGAGACAGGAGTCATTGTTTCTGTGTATATAGTTTCAGGAACAGGAGAAGCAGTTTCTCCATTAAAAGTTTCTGAGATAGATATTGTGGTTTCTATAGGTACAGGAAAATCAGTTTCCCTGTGAATGAATTTGGAGTTAAGGTCCATGGTATCTGTATATATAGTTTCAGGAACAGGAGAAGCAGTTTCTGCGTGGAAGGTTTGTGAGACAGACATAGTTTCTGTAGATGCAGTTTCAGGTACAGAAAAAGCAGTTTCCCCGTGAACGAGTTTGGAGACAGGGGTCATAGTTCCTGTATATGTAGCTTCAGGAATGGGAGAAGCAGTTTCACCATGAAAGGTCTCTGAGACGGACATAGTTTCTGTAGGTGCAATTTCATGTACAGAGAAAACAGTTTCCTTGTGAATGAGTTTGGAGACAGGGGTCATGGTTTCTGTATATATAGTTTCAGGAACAGGAGAAGCAGTTTCTCTGTGAATGAGTTTGGAGACAGGGGTCGTTGTTTCTGTATATACAGTTTCAGGGACAGGATAAGCAGTTTCTCTGTGAAAGGTTTCTGAGACAGACATTGTGATTTCTGTAGATGCAGTTTCAGGGCTAGAGGAAGAAGTTACTGTGGGAATAAAGTCTGAGAAATGATTTATGGTTTCTGTAGATGTGATTTCCAAGATAGGTGAAGCAGTTCCCTTTGGAATGGTTTTGGAGACAAAAGTTGTGGTTTCTGTATATGTAGTTTCTGGTTTAGTAGAAGTAGTTTCTGTGAAAATGAATTTAGAGACAGCAGCCGTTGTTCCTGTAGGTAGTATAGTTTCAGGAATAATGGAAATAGTTTCTGTTATAGTTTCAAAGACAGAGGAAATGGTTTCTTCAATTGATTCGATGACAGAGGAAACAGTCTCTGTGATCGTTTCAGGGACAGAGTAAATAGTTTCTGTGATCGTTTCAGGAACAGAAAAAATAGTTTCTGTGATAGTTTCAAAGACAGAGGAGATAGTTTCTGTGATATTTTCAGGGATACTGGAAATAGTTTCTCTGGGAACGGATTTTGAAGTAGGTATTGTGGTTTCTGTAGATATTATTTTATTGACAAAAGGAACGGTTTCTGTAAGAATGGATTTAGCAGTGTGTGAAGTGGTTTCTATGAGGGTAGCTACAGAGGTGGATAATCTGGTCTGAGAAACAGATGCAGGGATTTGGTTCAGGCTTAACATAGGAGATGTTCGGGAATAAATCTCTGTGTTGACTGGGTTGGTTACTTCAGAAGAGTTGTCATTGTGTGAGGAAACTAATTCAAGGTGTAAATAAGGTTCTCCAGTGACTGACTGCGTTCCTTCAGTTGATGTTAGATCATCGTCAGTGTGCTGTGAGTCATCCTGAGTAATATGTAAAATGTTTCCAGCATTGTCTGTGATCAGATAGTTGTCTCTAGTAGGTGCTGAGTTTGTTGTGTGCATTTCAGTATCCTCATCGTCATCAATGAAATATTCTTCTTCAGCCTTTGATAAATTGTGTTTCAAGGCCTTATATTCATCATACAAATCAAATACTTTAACTTGTTGAATAAGTATGTCTGGTTCCGCATGGTTGTCTTCAGCATCTGTTATATTTGTGTGGCTGTACAGAGGTTGACTTATGGCGCTGTTAGTGTCAGGTGTCGGTAAGTAATCACTTACAGTGTTCTCACTTCCGTCAGCATGCATGTCAGAGTTGTTGGTCTGATGAGCAATTACAAACATGCAGCTGTTTTCATAACAGTGTCCCTGAATAAAGCTTCCTGTGTCAGACATTGCTTCTCCTTTACAAGAGACTCTGTAGTATGTACTGTTAGCATCACCGGAACATGCAACTAGTGTCTCATTATCAACACACCGCAGTCCAGTGTAAGTCTCGCATACTTTGAAGTTATCATTGATGACTGTATTGATATTGAGTGACAGAGACATGCTTTGGCTTGTTAAGATGCAGGATCGTGTGTCGTTGTCACAGTGACCAACAGCATTCTCACCATCATCACTATGGAGCAGAGAAGCGCATGACAGGATGAAGGATGGTTGTGTAAAATTTTCGGAGCAGTCCATAATTGTCTTCTTATCTGCACACTGCAGCCCTTTCTGTTCACACTTGATATCAGCATAGTTTGGTAAGGAACCTTCTAGGTCATACACTTCATATTCTTCATCACCATCATAAAGTTCATTGTTATAATCACCTTCATTGGATGTGTCAGGTATTGTTATCTGTAGTTGTATGTTTGGGGTTGTTCCTTGTGTCCTCCTGTTTTTGGCATATGAATCAGGAAACATGAATGAAATGTTAGGAAGGGCAGTTTCTGTTCCTAAAGGGCTCTGTGAGACTGTTAAGGGCTCCATTGATTGTGAGTAGCTCTTGGTACTTCTTTGAAGTTCTTCGGTATCTGAAGCAGCGTGCTGAGGAAGTTCCCATACTGAAGAAATTGTACATCTGTTTGTGCTCCTGTCACATTGTAGTGGTTCACTTTTCTGTAAACAGATGTCACATATGTACATTTAGGACTGTCATTAAGCAAACTCAGTGTCCTCATCATTCCCTAAAGGTCTGTGACAGTGGTGGATCATTTTTCTGAATATTTTGCTGAAAGTTGTCCATTGTCTGGGGTGTATCTGATACACAATATGTTTGGAAATATCATATGTTTCTGTAATGTGGTGCATATCCAATATACCCCAGGCAATGGGCATTTTCCAACATACTACTCACATAACAGTATCTTCAAGCTGTGGAACATAAATACATCTTTGAAGCAACTAAACTTTTATTTAACTCCATGGAGGAAGTTCTTATTGAGCAGCTATCAACAGCTTAGCTAGTCAAGAAATCCTAAGCCTTAAATGGAATCAAAAGGTTCATTATCATGTTCACAAGATTCCACTCCTGAAACTGTTTCTATACCAGTTGAATCTAGTTCACACTTTCACACCCTGCTTCTTAAATATCCACTTTAATATTATCATCCCATGTATGCCAAAGTCTCAAGTGGTGTCTTCCCTTCAAATCTTCCAATTAAAATTCTGCGTGCATTTCTCTTCTCTTCCAGGCTTACTGCTTGACTTACAAATAAAATTTGGTCTTTGTAATTTTTAACACATCTTGTATGTAACTGACATCATAGTGACAAGGTTTACTATTACAAGTTAATTACACATCATAGCAAGTAATTTCCTGCTGCTGTGGAAACCAAAATTCATCATTGTCATTACAGATACCTCTCACTGGACATTATCCAGAATCATTTAGCATCAGTTGAAAGGACTGAAGAGGAAATTGTCAAGACCAGTTAAAGTACAGTCCTAATGCTCACCTCAAGGGAAACACACTGCTGAGGAGAGCCAATAAAATTCCCAATATTCAGAGTAGCTATCTTTGGCGTATAAGTCAGGTATGTTGGTTTCCCAACTGAAATGTGTGTCTGCATGTGAGAGCAAATGTATACCGTGAACAGAATCAAAGATGTAGTTGTATAAATATGTTGCCAGATTGGCTGACTCAAGTTATGAAAGGAAATTTATTTCAGTAGCTTTCAGTCAACACAGGAATGTTAGATTTGAAGTTTTACTGGTGGTCAATATTCACATTATGTTCTGAATTAGGGCACTATGTTGTCAGGTAGTTACCAATGTTTTGGAGGAACATATTGCCATAATCCTCATGATAGAAGTATTTCTGCCCAGAAGAGGGAAGCAGTATATTCCTCCAAAGTTGAACCTACCAGATTACATTGTATCATAACTTTGGAGACTATGAATGCTGGAAAATATGTAGAGCTGGCTCAGGTAATGGTATGACATGTAAAAGTTATGTAGTTTTTCTCGTCTTTCTGTTATCTTCTCTCTCTGAAATCTAATTACTTTATTTGGCATTTGTTCTCAAATACCCTTAAGCCATGTCCTTCCCTTAGAATGAAAGACTCTACAGATATTTCATTTTCTCTTTAATTTCAGTGAAGAAGGGTAGCCTAGGTATTTTAGTTCTTATGGGGCTTACTCTTGAGTGCAATGAACAGTGTAAACAAAATGTTCTCCTGTAACTGGACGAAGATTTTAAGTTGCTCTGGAAACCAAAACAAGAGAAAGTTATTTACATAATTGAAATACAAGTTGCTAAATGTGACACTATTATGTCAGAAACACTTACTCTTGCCAAATGCTGTGCCGAGCAGTTTACGACCCCCACAAAAGCCTTATTTGGTGTACAGATCACCAGTGTCTCATTGTTCGCACAGTATGGAACTTCTGCCTCTCCACATCTGAACTGCGAAGAAGCCTTACTGGATAGTCTTTCAGCTGGCAGGCTGTCAAGCAGGGAATCATCCTCGAGAGATGTTGCACAGTCTGGCATCATCTGGAGCAGATATATTTCCTTTATTGTGTTGCTGTGGTCAGTCAGTGCTACCAAGAATGCAAAATTAAATTATTTTTCCATGTAAGGGCGTTGAAGATGGTTGATAGAAGAGGAAGCCCACAACTTAAAATGATGGAGGCATGTTATTCCTCACAGTCATGAAGTTTTAACTGAGAGGTGTGGTAGTCACAAGTCCATAGAAATTAGATACTTTGGGACGTTTAAATGTTACATTAAAATAAACCATATTAGGAAAGAATTGAAAATACAAGCATTATAGAATAAAATAGATGAACACAGACAAAACTTGATAAATCATTTGAACAAAATGACTGATGAAAGAATACCAAAATATGAATCAAAAGGACAGTGAGAATGAAGAAGACCTTGAAAAGCTGTAATGAATATGTGAAATCAGAATGGGCTTGGTTGCATGAACTATAAAGTGAAGAATGAGAGGGGGTGGGAGCAGAAGAAGAAGACCAACAACAACAAGAAGTTTGACCTCAGACCGCTGACACTGGAGCTTGGCTTCCAGGCTAGACCTATGCTCATAGGACTCACTGCCTGCATAGTGATACAGCGTTGGATCCTTGAGGAGTAGTAGCTGCCAAGTGGACAAAGGAACATGTGACCCACAATGCTTCCACCTGGGCCCAGATGACACACTGAGAACAGACGGCAGTGGACAGGGTGTGGCCAGGTGCCGGGGCCCCAGCACTGTGCTCCCACAGGTCTTGGAGTCTCACGCAGCATCCTGGAAGGAGATCAGCACTTCATTGCCAGGCGTGGTTATTATTTTAAGCAATACAGACAACAGGACATCAAGCAATAAACCATCACACACACCAAGTAAGAACCTTCTCTCCCAACCCATTAAAAAGCCTTGTCCTACAATTATAGCCGATCTCTGAGTAAAGACTGAATCCCACGACCCTCAGAATATGAAGCTTGGGTGAGAGGCACTCAACTGCAACATTTGATACATAACTGGGAGGTTGTGATGGGTTGGACTGTAGCATGCAAGGGGGAGATTATAAAAATTATCTTTCTGAAACACCATGTAAAGAGACAATCCTGACTTTTCTGGAGTTCTTACCAGCTGTATACAATTTTTTACTTGTGCACTAATGTGGTAGAGAAATTAACTGTCTTCATCTTCAGAGCAAAATGAGTAACAGCTTCAGAGGTGCTATAGTTCTGTGCCAAGAGGCTGTATGTTCTGAACGGTGGATGTGTGAATTTTTGTAAGACAGTAGGACCCCTTTTTCCAGTGTGGCAACTATTATTCTGGTGTGAGATGGGTCTGATTGGTGGAAATGACAATGTATTAAAGCAGATGGGGAAGAGACATTAGAATCAATGCATCTTTAATCCTACAAATACTGAAATTCCATTACAACCCTGCTTCTAGCAAATGTGAACCTTCTGATGTGGAAGCCACTGATATTTTCCATCAGTACATAAGTTAAAAACTGCAGATACATAAAACCAAAAACAGTAATTGCTGTATTTGTTTAGTTCACCTACTTGCAATGCTATTTTGTTTCAACTTACCAGAGGCTGGGTTGAGGAGCAGCAGTGCTGTATGCTTCTAGCATCTGCAAGCATGAAATTTCTGTTAATGCTTTCGTTCAAGTCCTCTTAGTCTGTAGAGGTATGAGGACCTTTTCTCTACATATGGCTGCTTTATCACAATATATAGTATCCAAAACTTTAAACAAGGAATAAGAGGTAGCGTAGTGGTTAAGGCACTATGGTACAAGCCGGAAGGTGGTGGGTTCAAGTCCTAATGAGGTCACTGGATTTTTTTCAAGCCTTCTGGCCGCACTAGGCCCTGGGGTTTACTCAGCTTCTAACAGAAATGAGTACCAGGAATTAAATAATTTTCCTGGGGAGTAAAGCGCGGCCGGCCCATAAGGCTGACAACTTTACTGCCATCTTTGAGCCGATTGTCAAGGTAATGTGAGACCCTTAACGTCTCACAACCCTATGGGCCTTCATGGCCTGTTACAGGGATAGCTTTACTTTTTACTTACTTACTTGATAAGAGGTAGATCCTGAAGGGTTCTGAGGATGATGTCAGGTATAGAGGATGATGGACAAAGTCCAAAAGCCAGTAATCCCAAGGAATAACAGTCATATTAAGAAATTACAGTGTACATATATAACTAAAAAGGAAAGACTAGGAGTAAAGATTAAGGTCACATTAAGTAGCTCTATTATTCTAGAAGAGGGTGTGTGTGTGTGTGTGTACATGCGTGGCAGAAAACATCATGGAAAATTGTCATGTTTGAAAGTAAGATAAATTGATATATGAGTTGATACCCGTGTTCTTTGAAGTCTAGAAGTCATTTAGTGTCAAATTAAAATAAATATCCTCAGGAATGTTAAATTAGGAGCGATGAGTCATGATTTGGACATCATCATTGAATTAACGTCCTTGAAACTGGGAGGATGATATTAAAGTGGATTTTAGGGAAATGGATATTAGTGATGTGCATTTTATAGAACTAGGAATGGATCTGATCTAAAGGTGTCTCTTATATTGGTGTTGTTAAGATTCTGTGAGGTTACAGCAAATTCTCACGAGAACACATTTCAGCTTACCACCAAAATGGCAGATCCCAGGAGGATGAAACACAGCATATCCTGTCATGTACACACTCACAGCTCAACTGCTAGTGTTATTCTAATTCAGCACCGTTGACAGGATCTATGCTGTAATTCTATTCTAACTGTTGCTCAATTAGCACCATTATGGTTCAAAGCAGAACACTTCCGTTGAGAAGTCTGGGAGCCAGTAGTATGTATTATCTGTTCACAAGGAAAAGTGCTAAAACCCTCCAATTTGAGACACAAATGAGGTCTGAAGCTTTCATGGCAGTGAAGTTGCAAGTTATGCTCTTCTGGCTTCTTACACCATGTGGTCTGGTAGGTAGAGACCAGTGTTTTGGAGGAACATACTACCTCCATTTTCAGGGTAAAAGTGAGGATGGAGACAGTATGTTACACTTAAATGTTGGTACCCACCTAAGAGACCAACATAATGTCACAATCCAGAATACCACCATATGAGATATTTTTCAAATACTTAAAGTGCAGATACTTTTCGCATAGAAATCCCAATGCCATAAGGTAAAGGTAAGTTTTCCCTGAACTTAATTGGGCACCACACCATGAATATATATGTGGAAGTGGTGGCATAGCTCCACAGATTCCTAACATTGGAAGTAAGTGGTCAATTTCATACCCAATCTATCTTAATTCCAACAGAGAATCTCTGGTAACCATTGGTCAGTAGGCTTGGTGGGCCCCAGACCTGGTCTGGGCACTGTAGAGAAAGGCAGAATCTCTTAACACTATCAGGAATCAAACCCTGACTCCTCAGCTATCCAGCTTGTGGCCCAGTAACTATATTGAGTGAACTATATTTAAATTAAACCCTGTTTTAGTAGTTTTGGATAGGTAGCATATTAGAATGATAAGTCAAGAAGGCTGAAATAGGGACGACATGTAGCACGCATGGGAGCGAAGCCTAGTACAGGGTTTCAATAGGAAAAACGGAGGTAAAATGACAACTAGGAAGGCCTATACATAGATGGGAGGATAATATTAAAACGGATCTTAGAAAAATAGGATCTGAGGGTGTGGACTGGATTCATCTGCCTCAGGATAGGTACCAGTGCAGGCTTTTGTGAAGATGGTAATGAGCCTTTTGGTTCAATTAAATGCTGGGGATGTCTTGAGTGGCTGGGCACCTGTTGGCTTCACAAGAAGAACTCGGCTGTATGGAGTTCTTTAGTTGGTATGTGGATGGACATAGACAATGTTTGTGTCATGCATTCTTCTCGTTACTTAGTGCAAAGAACCCATAAAAGATCTTACAAGGCAGTTCTTTGTTTGTTCCTTGGTATTTACTGTGTTGTAATATTATACACAAGGTCTTCCTTTCCATAATCCATTGTTGTTGTAGGATGGGGCCCCTTGCAGAAAATGCAATACCATATGGACTTAACAGTTTTCATCTACCTACTCCCCTACCATATCTGCATAATTAATATTTATAAATCAAAGCTCCATTCTGTTAACACACATTTCCCATTTATCTCTAACACTGAGCAGATAACCATCCAGACCCTTTTACAGCAATTTACAATTTTTTCCAATACCATTTCTTCATTAATGCTCCTCCATTACTCACAAATTGCCTGTACTATAGGACAATGCATGAAACCTATGTTCCCATATAAGCACAGTTGAACTATCCACCTTCTGATCTGTTTAATGTACTTCTACAAGGTCACACTCATGGTGCTGTCTCACCTATGTGTGCGTGTGCCTTCCTGACACTCTACTTAGAGCAGTCTTGACGCAGAGTTAATAACAAGGAATCAATTAGTGTAATTTGTTTAGAAAAGCAAACAAGAAAGTGAAACTGTGCAGGATAGCCTAGCCTCCAGTTTTTGCTACAGGATGCTAGAAAACAGTGGTACCGATGTGGAATTAAAGACAGAATAAAAGTCTTATCCTCCCACAGTCATCTGTATTTAACAAATGGCACTGAACAAGTTAACGCAATTGAAATGCTTATGACTTGTGTTCAAGAAGTGCCTGGTTTGAATCTATGGTAGGGCACTAAGTATCTTATGAATTATTTTTGTGGTTTTCCTCAGTCCCTGCAGTCAGATGTTGGATGGAGCTTCAAATTAGGCCATGACCACTTCCTTCAGTGTTTCTTCCAATTCATTGTTCACTTATCTTCCTGCAATTAATGTTGTGTAATCAGAGCTACTGATACTGTTATTAAATAAGCCACAAATAAATAACGAAATAAATAATTCGAAAATATAAAGCTATCCCTATAACAGGCTGTGAAGGCCCATAGTTTTGTGAGACATCTAGGCTCCCACATTTTCCAGACACTCAGCTCACAGGCGGTGGTGAGGTTGTCAGCCTCACATGCCGGCTGCCCTTTACCCACAGGAATATTCTTGATACTCATCTCTGTTAGGGGCTGTGCCTACCCCACTGCCATAATGTGGCTGGAAGGATTAAAAATAAATTAATAGTTTAATGGTAAAATTGTTCCTGTGCTTAACTAATTAAGCACTATGCCATGAAGACATATGGGCAATTAGTTGGAAGTGAGTGGTCAACTTCACGCCCCGGCCGCTTTAACCCCGGGAAAGACCCCAGCTACCCATTTGATAGAAGGCTGGGTGGGCCCCAGTACTGGTCTGGGAGACACGGAGAAGAGAAAATCCTCATCCAGCCTTAATTTCTTAATGTGAATGTTATTCCTTTTTATCATTTTAGCTAATATATACTCTGATATTGAAAAAGAATACAATTATATCCCAGGTGATGGACGAGTACTTCTACTTATAATTCATAATCATCCTACAATATCTCCTTTGGTGCTAAATATCCCTTGTTGTTGACGCAAGATCATAAAATAACCCAATGAAAAAGCATCTTGACACTTCAAAAAAAAAGCTTCAAATATCATTTATTGTTAATTTCCATTTTATCACCATTATATGATCATTAGCAACTGATAACAATTTGTACAATTAGTACAAATTTCAGTATCTAATATAGTTCAATTTTATTACATTACATTGCATTCCCTGGATCCAGAGTTAGTCAAATTGACTATAGGATGTGGAGTATGTCATATAGATACAAAAACATATGTACAGCAGAACTTAAGTTTTCACACAAGAAAACACAGTCGTTACACATAAGGCTATTCAAAAATACATCCGCATATATACATCAATACCGTCAATTTATACTATTTGCACAACATTTAAGTGGATGAGTAATTTTTTTTAAAATATGTATTCATCAAAAGCTTAGATTGAGTGTGTATTTAATTATCATTTTAGTGCTATATAAATTGTACTTTTCCGTTCATAAAACTTGATATCAGATGGCAGATTACTGAAAATTTTGATCCCACTGTAATATGTTCTTTTCTGAAAGCATGAGAGTTTAGCAGTTGGCTTATGAAGGTAGTGCTTGTGTCTTGTCTTAATACTGTGTACATCTGAATTGGTCTGAAAATGTTCTACGTTATTTGTTATGAAGTTTATTAATGAATATGTATATTCACATGGAAGACTTAAGATCTCTAGCCTCCTAAATAGATCTCTACAAGAATTACAGGATTTGACACCCATCATGATTCTAACAATTGTCTTTTGCAATGAAATACCTTTTTGCAGAGATGAATTACCCCAGAAAATTGTTCCATATTTCATTAAAGAGTAAAAGTAAGCATAATAAAGTGATTTGAGAGTGTCAGTTTTCCTGATATAACACTGCTTATAACAGGTAAAGTAAAAGGATAAACTTCTTGCTTAGTTAAGTGTCATGCCATAAAGACATATGGGAGAGTCGCGACATAACTACATACATTCTTAACTACAGCATTAGACTGTGGTCAGTGGTAAGCTTGGTGCCCCCAGTATCCATTGCATATGAAACTGAATGGGCCTCAGAGCCAGTCTGGATGCTTTTGAGAAGTTAGAAACCTCTGCTCCTGCTGCGAATGGAACCTTGATTCCCTGGTTGTCCAAGTCCATAATTACTATGTAAATAACCATAAACTTGAAACCCTCAAATGTTTCACAGTTGTAGGACACGTTTTCTTCAGCCACTTTACAAAGAGACTAAAAAGGTCAAGCACTGCCAAGTAATTAAAGGAAAACCAAAACAGACGTTTAACATTATGAAATAATTTTTAAAAAAATGTAGTGACATGATAATTATTACCCACTTTGGTCTGTATTCTTATAATCAATTAACCATATAGTTTATAAAATTTAACTTTGTAAATGTAAGTTAGCGGTATTTTAAATGTATCTTGATAATTTTCTTGTATTATGAAGTGTTCCAATTTTCTGCTTACAGCAAAGTCTGTGTAATAATAATAATAACAACAACAACAACAACAACAACAATGCTCATCATTGTTATCATCACTCTTTTACGAACATTAATGCGGAGAATTTAATTGTAAACAGTGTGTGAGCAGAAAGCAGTCTTCTGGGATTTGGCGCCGTGTATATGTGGTGTTAACCCATATACACGGCGCCAAATCCCAGAAGACTGCTTTCTTCATAGTCACCGCCGTGAAAGCCTCAAATCTTACACAGTGTGTGAGCATTCTGCTCAGTTGGACATGTCTTTAACCTTGAACAGAGGTGCCAATTATTTGAGGAAACAGACTGACTGTTATTGAATCAACAGTTCAGTTTTCAGTGACGTCACTCAGGATTTCCACTAATTGCTTCAATGATACATATCTCTCAGTACACAAAGAATGGTGGAAGGGAAATTCGTGCCATTTATATAAGTTTCTTTTTGGTACTTCTCTGCATTTAATTTATGAATGGTTATGTAGTGTCTGGATGTGAGATCCGAGGTTCTCACAGCAGTGACATTGAAAATATCTCCTGGGATGTGACACCATATGGTCTGATATGTAGTTATCAGCATCTCAGATGAATCTTCTGCCTCCATCTTCAGTGTAGAAGAGTAATCTATGGGAATTGTGGACAGTTAAATCAGAATTTAAGCTGTTGAAATGGTATTTATGAGACAAATGCAAAATACACTTGAATGGACCCTGAGAGAAATGAAAACATATTAAAGAATTAAAAGCAGAACCCATATCAGAGGGGGGGGGGGCGTGCGGTACCATAGTTGGTTGAGGCACTATGCTACAAGTTGGAAGGTCAAGGGTTTAAGTCCCGATGAGGTCATTGGGTTTTTTTCAATTGACCTAATCCTTCCAGCCACACTATGGCCCTGGGGTCGACTCAGCCTCTAACATAAATGAGTACCAGGAATATTCTTGGAATATTCTTGGGGGTAAAGGGCAGCCAACGCATAGGGCTGACAACCTTGCTGCCATCTATGAGCCGATTGTCTAGAAAATGTGGGAACCTCAGCATCTCACAAACGTATGGGCCTCCAGGGCCTGTTACAAGGATACCTTTACTTTTTACTTTTTTGCCCATGACAGAGAAAATGTTGAAATATGAACTGAATTCAACATTTTGACAATGTAGGCAGACACACTTCTAAAACTACTGTGCATCGAATTTTATTTAAAGTATGTGTCCCTGAAGACCTCGCATAATTCAAGACAAGTTTTGAAACACATGTGATTTTTGCCAAATTTTTTGGGATTCACATTATTTCAAACTTTGTACATAAAGTGAGACTTTATTAATATTTTCTATATCACACTATTTCTTACCATGATAGATGGGTCCTCAGGTTGCAGATGGAGAAGACAGCCTCCAGATATGAAGGGTAGCTGTGAATATATTGAATAAACAGTCGCAGACAGCTGACAAAGGGTGGTCGTCCAGCTTGGTTGTTGGGCATGGGGCTAACAACTCCTCACCATAAAAAATAAGCTTGTTACGAAAGATCACAAGAAGCCTCAGACCTGGACAGATTCTTTGGATAAACAGCCTAAGCAAAAGAAAATGAATATGAGATTTGGTACTTGGAGTATGTATAGGGCAGGTTCATTCAGGATAGTGGTGGAAGAAATTTCAAAATATAAGTTAGATTTAGTGGGAGTACAGGATGTCAGATGGGATGGAGGTGGCACTGAACCAGCAGGTGAATATAAATTTTTCTATTGAAAGTGGAATGAGATCATGAATTAGGTACAGGTTTTTTCGCACTTAAGCTAATCACATCAGCAGTTAAGAGGGTAGTGTTAGTTGTAGGCTGTCATACCTAATACTAAGAGGTTGCTGGTGTGATATTGTTCTGAATATTCATGCCCCAACAGAAGATAAAACATGTGATATGAAGGACAGGTTCTGTGAAGAACTAGAACATGTATTTGATAAATTCCCTAAATACCACATGAAAATTTTGTTAGGAGATTTGAATGCCATAGTATGGAGGGAAGCCATTTTCAAACCAATGATTAGGTTTGCACAAAATTATTAATGATAATGAAGTTAGAGTAATAAACTTTTCCACAACCAAAAATCTTATTGTCAAACGTATGATGTTCATACATCCTCAACCAAATTCCAGTTGATACCCTTTGAATACAAGTAAACTTATTACTCCTGGGCTAACCTCCTTAGTCTATGAATGTGTGATGTATAGGCTTTTACATCATGTCACAATAAAGTTATATATATCCAGCTTGAAGGAATAAGGAATTCAACTTCAAATTGGGCAATCCAGTTCACATCAAGTGGTCTTAATATGGTTCTTTGGATACGCACGTTAAATCGAAATGCAGGAGCTTCCTGATAACCTTCAGTAGCCTTAAGAACTTGTTAAATGATAATAATAATTTACAATTAACAGTAAATTTACTTTCAAAACAGGTTCATGTGAGTGTTATGTTTTCCTGTCTATTGTCGGCTTTGTCTCTTTACTTTGCAGCCATGCCTATTATGAAATATAGTCATGGAGGTACTAAATTGATAATTCTCTTGACCCAATATAATTCGATTAAATCAAAGCAGTTGACATGGGCAAGGGAGGGTAGCATCTTGCCTGCATCCACGAAATGACCAGTGATCAATGTTACTAAATGTAAAATGTTTTATAGGGCTCTTGCTGGCTCATACTAATATACTTTTATGTTAATCATATACATTATTATTTAGTGACTGATTTATTTTCCAATTCACAATGTATTATGTTGAGTTGTTTTGATTTGTAATTGTATGACTGACACTTTAGTATATTCTTTGAGTATTTGGTGTATTGTATATCTGTGACTGGTTCTATATCAGACTTGCGACATTTGTAGCCTGTTCTTGATTGATGGAATATTACAATAAACTGAAACTAAAAGTATGAAATTCTTGGTGTACTGGTTAAAGAACTATACAGGAACGAATAAATAATAATATTATAACAATATGAGAATCTATTTACATTTCAACGATTATGAAATAATTTATCTTTTAAGTTTGTTCCATGTTTATTTGAGAGGAGCGCCATCGGACTAAAAAAATTCTTGAGACGAAAATTACGGCGCGATCTATGTACTGGTCCATAATATATATAACCCTGTGAGGGGTCAGTACACTACACGGGTCAATGGAACAGATAGGTTTGATCCGTGAGTTATTAGCCAGGGGTCGTAGGTGCTTGTGCTCTTCACCAGAAAGATCAGAAACATGAACCTTCATTTGTAGGGGAACTGTCTTCGTAATGAAAGCACAATTTCCGATGATTGTAGTTTTGAATTTAGAAGTGGAACGTTGTTCTAAAGGGGTTTCATTACACATTTTGTACAAAATTGAATGAGACTCGGAGGATGACATTTGATATGCTGGTGTGTAATGGAGGGTAATTTTGAACTTTCGTTTTGACACGGACTTTATTTACCAGCATGAAAAAGAGAAGTGAGGTAGTATGGTGACACATTTTGCACATAATTCCGATAAAAAGTCGAATGCAAATTTCCACCAATTACTGTCAAGGATCATGTTATCATAATTCAGGCTGCTGTGTGTGGCGTAAATAAAATAGTGACCGAGTAATAACCTCAGAAGGAGATTCATAAAAAAACGTCAGCAAACATTGCGTCAGCTGCAAGAGAAGTCTAACACGTCTAACATAAGAAGGGCGTTGCGCAAGTGCAACATGTGCCGGTAGTTTATTTCTTGCCACGAGGCCTTAGGTCATCAATTTTAATTAATAAACAATTTAAGCCAACGTGGTATATTGTGAGCACGTTGTGGAACCATAAGGATAGAAAGGTACCAATTGTGAGATGTTTGTTCTTCTTTTGTTTGTGGTTTGTTATAAATGTTTGTCCAGAAGTTTTGAAGTGACAGCAGTTTGTTAATATTGAATTTCATTTAAGTTCTGTATTATTACTCGTAATCGGATAATAAAGACAAAGATTGACTTGGAACTTTGGCAGCAAACTGTCAGCGTGTTTGTTTATTTGTTAATTGTTTAATGACGCCGTCAGAAGTTCAGAATATATAGCAAAGAATGATGGCTAATTCTTGAATAATTAACTGGAGAGGATGTGGAAGGAAGTAGAGGTGGCATAATTTGAGGTACTATCCCAGCATTTGTTTAGGACAGGATTGCTGCAGGTTAGCTGGTGTCTAGGCTGATATTTGAACTTGGGACTTATGAAATATTTATCAGGATTGCTACCTATTTGTTTCCGACATTCAGTGTTGAAGTGTATCAGTCCTTAAGAATCGTTTATAATATGAAATCTTTCAGGGTAAGCTGTGTTGTTGAATAGATATATTTTAGTTAATACTGTGAGACTCAGGGCTTTACAGTATATGGAAAGTGAATGTTTTAACTTGACAGATACTCTGTGAAAGGTTTATCATTAAATATTCTGTGTAGAGGAAAGATGTTGAGATGCTGGACAAATGTTACTAATGTTTACTTGCCATGCACATGAAATGATGTTATGTCAAAACATATAGTCGAGGTGATGTAGTTTCAGGTATCATGTGTGGCATTTGGGCATTGTTTGGGATGGAGACCTGCACTTCAGTTCACTCAAACACTTCCTTTAGTAAAATTGCTCATAGAGGCCCAGATGCCTGGAGAATAGAATTTGACAAGAAAGTTAAGGTACTGTATGTAGAGTCTTGTCAGACATATATAAAAAAACTATGCTAACAAAAATAGAAGATTGATTTAAGCCTTATATTTTCATTTAAATAGTGTAGTATTGTGTTTCTGCTGATAACACTAGATATTGTAATAAATAATTTTATATTATCTAGTGAACAGTTTGGGTTTAGAAGCAATTCCTCAACAGGAAAGGCAACGTTTAAAATTCTAAATGATATTTTACAGGCCTTAAATAATAAGGAACTTGTGGGAGGTATTTTTTGTGGCCCTGAGAAAGCCTTTGATTGCGTTAATCACGACTTATTAATGAAGAAACTGAAATTCTATGGAATTGTAGGCAATGCATATGCTCTAGTCAAATCATATCTCAGTGATAGGTATCAGCAAGTCCTCATTGATGATAAATTAACACATTCTTATACTTCTTCAGAATGGGGGAAGATTAAACATGGAGTGCCCCAGGAATCTACAAATTCCAGAAATAGGGATTCCTGTAGGGAGTTGTTTAAGAATCTAGATATATTACCATTTTATTCTCAGTATATATTTTCATTACTAATTTTTGTAATTGATAGTATCTCCTTATTTAAAACAAATTCAAAGTTGTATGATATCAACACCAGAGGCAAAAATAATTTTTACCCTCCACAACCAAGGTTGTCTATCTATAAAAATGGTCTTTATTATATAGGTATAAAGGCATTTAATCACTTACCTCATTGCATAAAAAAATTGTCTGATAATAAGAATCACTTTAAAAATACTCTAAAAAACTACCATCTATTGAATTCTCTTTATTCACTGAAGGATTTTTTAAAATTGTAATTACTAATTTTTATGTGAATTTTTAAGGTTTTATGTATCATAGGTGCTTTATTTTGGCATAAATATGTTATCATCTATCTACCTTTTGGTATGATGATTGTTTACAGTATTAAATTTAAGGTGTTTAATGTTAAAGTAGGAAGATAAATAGTTTGGTTTATTGTTTGACCTGACCTATGCTTATTTTCATAGCATGTGTATTTTAGTTACTTGTCTGTGACTTGTTCTGTATCCATTAGGCGTATTTGTAGCCTAGATTTGATCAACGGAATTTTACAGTGGAATAAACAAATAAAAATTATATGTGAGATAACTGACCTTGAAACCAATGAAAACTGCACGTTTGCGATTAATAATAAAGATAAAATGTCCTAGTGCTTAAGCACCATGCCATGAAGACATATGGGGGAGTGGAAGTATAGCTCCATTCATTCTTAACTTCAGCACTAGGTAAAAGTGGGTCGTCAGTTTTATTCCCCAGCTGCTTTATCTTAGAGAAATGTGCCCCTTGTACACTTTGGATGGGCCCTAGAGCTGGTCTGGGCTGGTATGGAAGGTCATGTGCTGCATTAGTATGTCTGTGCATGCAATTATACAGTCCTGCTTTCTGAGCATTGCATTTTTCCAGAACTAGTCCTATTACTGTGCAGTTAGAATAGGGCTGTAATTGCTTAGTACCAGGAAATTTAAAATCCTCCATTCCTGTACAGATAAAGTCCAGTTGTTAGCCCCATACTACCCCTGTTCCTAGATGATAAAGGTGAAGTAATATCAGAGAAGGCAGTTTCACATTGGAGTGTGTTTTAACTTGTAGAACTCTGTTGTTGGTTTCCATCGTCTCGAAATCGTGGACTGCCTGTATGGGATGCAGCCCATGAAATTGCATCAATACCCTCATCTCACTCTGCTCTGCAATGGTGAGATCTACAACTGCAAGAGGGTGAGTCATCCTCCTTCACAATGTTATGGATAATGAGATCCCACGTTTGATACCCATATAAATCAACGAATAAAATTGTAGTTCCATCACAATTAAAATGAATGATATACAATTTGAAGCAAGCATTTCTTATCATGCCAAATTTCTTTCAAGAATCTCATTTATGTTTCTTTTGCTTTTTCTTATCTGCATTTTGATAGGGTTTAAGAGCAAGTAGTCACTCTCCACTTTCTCACTCAATGTGTGTGATAGGTCCCCATTTACATTATTATTCAATTTTCACTGCATAGAGTCCCTTTTTTGTTAATGGCATTGTATGTATTAAGAAAGCGGTTGGTAGTTACAGCTTCATTCAATCTTGGATACATTGTGCTGTCATTATATGGCACTCTAAAGAAATTTAAATATTTGTTAAGTCTTGTGAACTTGATGATACATATGGTCCTGAAGAAGATGCTCCATCACCTGAACTGAAATTGGGAACCTGTTATTCGCACATTCACACTGAAAAGTTGGAAATGATAGTTTCCTCTACTCTTTCTGTCTGTCTTACATTTACATGTCTGAACCTGAGAACTGATTTTCATGAAATTTAATATTGGGGAGTTTTAGTAAAATTTATCAGCACATTCCAGTTTTGGTTGAAATTGGACAACATTATTGAAGAGCTAAATGTTTTTCTATATACTTAATGTTCATAACTCTCCAAATAGTTGTTGGTACAAAAGTGTTTAAAAAAACTGTAGAGAAAAATAAAAAAAACATGTTTTATCCTCAATATACATTCCTGTGAAAATTTTTATTTTTTTTGAGATAATGAAGTGGTAGGGAGTGAATATGTCAGAATTGTTATGCTTTGCATACATTTCCTAACTCGTTTTATATGCTACACAGAGTTTGACTGAATGAATTGTAACTTTGCTGTATTTTTTGCCAGTCCTTCCATCTGTCATATTGTAGGAACTTAACTTTTTTGACACGTGGGAACTTGTTGCATCATGTTGTGCATTGTGTTAGATTATGATTCCAGATTAATATCATTGGTATGCACAGATATGTAATTTGATTCTCCTAGTTCTGATCTCTTCTCATTCTCTTGCTGCATTATAATGTTTGACCTATAATCAACTAGAAAAATAGCCTCATGTACAAATTAGCAGTACACATAACAAAGACCCTGAAAGACATAGTACAAGTACCTAATGCTTTTAACATACACAACTGCTATGAATGAATGACACATACACTGATATACATAACCCCATATTTGATTTACTTATAACAACATAGCCCACAGAACAAAAAGCCATACATTAGCATGTCTCCCCTACCACCACTTGAAGAAGCCTCCCTGACTCCTGCACTCCCTTCCTCTTCCCCTCCCCCACTTCCTGCAAACCCCTTCACTCCTGACACTACCAATATGATCACTTCAGTCCATTCACAAAACACAACAGCGTAACACTACATTACGAACAAGTAGCTACTATACCAATATCATAAGTTATAATCCATGTCTCTAACTACAGTATACTACATTATTCTAAATCCATCTTTCATAATACCAGGAACAGCAACATCAGTTCAAAAAGAACTCTTATTTGTCATCAATGAAAAGAGTTTTTGTGGCTCAGAAAAGAGCAATTAGAGCAATGTTAATGATGAGGCCTAGAAGTTCTTGTAGAGAGGTTTTCACAGAATTAGGGATACTTACAGTTCCCTATTTGTTTATATATGCCATGGTCATGTTTGTAATTGAAAACGAAAATAATTATCTTACATATAATTGTGTACATAAAATTAACACTAGAGTACAAAATAGACTACACGTCGCGTCAGCTAGACTATCCATTATATAAAAGGGAGTGTATTATACATCCATACAAATTTTTAAAAATTTGCCACATAAATTATATATTTTAAAGGATAATGTTAATTTATTTAAACAAAAATTGAAAGGCTTTCTTATCTTCAAAGCTTTCTATTCTATTGATGAATATATGGCAAATACCTAATTGTATTATATTCCTATTGTATCAAGGTTGTGTCTATTTGGACTTGGTTGCATATCGCAACTACTTTTAATTAATCTGACGAGCTCAATATCCAGCCCAAGACGGGCAACAGATCTGTGAAGCTATGTATGTATGTAACTCACAGTGTATCACTGCCATACAAAACAACAAAGTAATCAACAAATGTTAAACACATAGCCATAAACAGAAATTTCAATCCAAAAAGCCCACAGAATAGGCAACAGACGATAAACACTTAAGTACACACAGGTAGTTTACAGCTAACAGTAAAACACCATACAGAAACTACATGTACTATTTTTTATAGTACATACTCCTAATTTTTCAGACTCCACAAAATCACAGATGAACACAAACTGAGGATTATGGAATATATCTGGAATTCACAGTACCTTGCCCTCCACAATATACACACATACCACATACATAAAAACCACTCCCCACAAAGTACATATCCTATACACTGTAGTAGTTCAACACACACCACCTGTCCTGCCCTGTTCTCCCTACCCCCTTCCACTAAAACCCCAGTACAAAGTTAAACTAAAGATTAAGTTTTAACTTCTAATTTTATGCGGGTTCAAGTCCTAATGAGGTCATTGAATTCTTTTCTGTTGACCTAATCCTTCCAGCCGCACTATGGTCCTGGGGTTGACTCAGCCTCTAACAGAAATGAGTACCAGGAATTAATTTAATAATTTTCCTGGGAAGTAAAGCGTGGCTGGCGCGTAAGGCTGATAAACTTACCGTCATCTTTGAGCCGATTGTCTAGATAATGTGGGACCCTCAACATCTCACAACCCAATGGGCCTTCATGGCCTGGTACAGGGATAGCTTTACTTTTACTGTAATAATAGTAAACATAGACCTGCCTACATTAATTATTCAGTTCAGTGTAATTTACCATATCATATACTGAGGAGATTTCCATGGCAAAAGCTGCATTTAGCAAGAAGAAGAATCTTTTTACCAGCAAATTGGATTTAATTTTGAGGAAGAAATTGATGAAATGCTACATTTGGAGCATAGCTCTGTATGGGGCTGAAACATGGACACTTAGGGCAGTAGATCAGAAACATCTGGAAAGTTTTGAAATGTGGTGTTGGAGAAGGATGGAGAAGATCAGTTGGACCGATTATGTGAGAAATGAAGAAGTGTTAATTAGAGTCAGTGAGCAGAGGAATATCCTACATGAAATAAGAAAACGGAAGGCTAATTGGATTGGTCATGTTTTACGCAGAAACTGCCTTCTAAAAGAAGTTATCGAAAGAAAGATAGATGGGCGGATAGAAGTGACAAGAAGACGAGGAAGAAGACGTAAGAAGATGCTGGATGACCTTGGGGACAGAAGAGGATACTGTCATTTGAAGGAGAAAGCTCTAGATCGCATTAAGTGGAGGAAGTGTTTTGGAAGAGACTGGACCTGTCGTCTTGACAGATTACTGATGATGATCCTGAGGAATGGGCTGTATAACATGAGACTAGTAATGATGGACCCATTGTAACAAGCAGTCCAGTGATGTATGTTGACAACATTTTTAATGTTTCTAACGCCTGAAGATGACCATATATGGTTGAAACATGTAGGGAACATGCTTAGTGAATAAATACTGATTTCACCAATGATACTAGTGTCTTCAGTTGTTTATTTATAGTTATGTTATGACAGATGGGGACTGATGTACATGGCAGTGAGATACACAACAGGATGCAAAACACACACATATACAGATTTTAATAATCCTTGAAACATACTTCAATTTTGCAGTTTGTGTTTGTTTGTTCCACAGCTGAAGGAGCAGTATGGGTTCAGCTATGAGACAAACTGCGATGTTGAATGTATCTTGCACCTGTATGCCACAGGTGGCATAGAACACTGTGCTCGTAGTTTGGATGGTGTTTTTGTGTTCTGTATAGTGGACTCTGCCAAGCGACGTGTGTTCATTGGTCGTGATCCTTATGGTGTTCGACCCCTTTTTCGCCTTTACAGTACCACAGGGGTTCTGGGAATCTGCTCAGAAGCCAAAGGTTAGTTTTGTAGCTACACTGTATTTATAAGTGTTTCAGAATAGCAGTTTCCAAACTTAATTTTTCCTCTTCGTGTATGTATGTTATTCCTTTACCCTCATACTTAGAACAGTTTGAATAACTTTTATGAGGTTTGAAGTTCTAACAGGAGTGAACATTAAGATTACAGCCTGCTGGGATGTGCAACACCATATGGCTTTGTATGTACTCGTAGGTAACAACATTTTGGAGGAATGTGCTGCCTCCGTCTTCAGGATAGAACCTTAAAAATAACACTCATATACCCTGAAGATGGCAGCAACAAGTTCCTGAAAATATTGGTACCTATCAATCAAACTGTACAACTTCATATCCTAGACGGTAGTCTTATTTATATATTTATGATTTATTCAATGACATTGTCAGTAGATCAAACTATATATGGTCAAATGACAGGATGATTAGTGAATAAGAAGTGGAATGGCTGTGAAAGGAGGCGGTAAAAAAAGAAGGCTATCCCTGTAACAGGTCATAAAGGCCTGTAGAGTTGTGATATGTTGAGGCTCGTGCATAAGGCTGACAAACTTACCGCCATCTTTGAGCCGATTGTCTAGATAATGTGGGACCCTCAACGTCTCAAAATCCTTTGGGCCTTCGCGGCCTGGTACAGGGATAGCTTTGCTTTTTTCTTTTTACTTTTTTTACCTCCTACATACAAATCAACAGCATTACTGCACGAGGAAACTTTCCCAGTAACATAAACATATTGTCGCATGTACAAGTAACTGTAGACAGGGTTTGGATTGGTAATTGGATTTATTGACCATTTACAGATTGTAAGTACAAGTAAGTATGACACTTTGCTAATTCACACACTCTGCAGTTACCTACAGTATGTACTAAGTCTTCTTAGTCTGCTGTGTGTTTACTAGTTATTGCCTGGTAACAGCTTCCAGCGGTGGATGTTCCCCTTACTCTGGGTTTCCGAACCATCCCTGTGTCTTGGCTATCAGCTTCTAACAGCAGCAGCTCACAGTGACTGAATTGCAGTTCTCTGACTAACTCATCAACCGCCAACCAACTCTTCACTTCCCAGCACTACACTGCCTAACTGTCAAAGTCACATTGTGACTGACAGTCGGTCAGTCTGTCTGTCTTGGTGTCGAGCCACCTGGGGCTAATGACCAATTATTTCTTCTTATATGAAAGTTACTGTCCTGTCTATTTGGGGTGCCCTCTCTGGCGAGAGGCCGGGTCTGTCATTTGTCAGTCATAGTCCGTATTAGTAAGTCCATTGTCAGTATTTACATATATTTACAAATTTAATCTTATTTCCTACTTCTATATACAATATATACAAGGCCTCTGTCAGTCCAGGCTCAGTACAGCAGATTTTGCCATATTTCTAGTAGTATTTGCTACCACGGCAGTCTAGTCACTTGAACAGTCGTATGCTTGCACCGCCAAGTTTAAGCCTCTTATGCTTTCTATGTCGGGCTTCGTCTTTTCCAATATTGCGAACATTCTCATTGTCATGATTTTGTATGACTTCTGCTTGTTGCCTGCCACCTAACTGTAACTAATTTTCCTGGTTATAACATCTCAGCACAGACCGCACAGAAAACACCGTTCCTCTGTTGCTGTTCAGTTGTTTCCATGGGAATGTATTTGTTTGAGAAGCAGGTACTCAGTAACAGCTGTTTTATATTTGCTTATGTCATGGTTGTTGCCCAGCAACAGGACCACATGCTACAGTTTTTAAATAACTTAACCTTTGGGAGTCTGACACTGTCCCATGTGTTCTCTCTTGAAAGAGAAATGCTGCCTTATCATTTGCAAGTCTGTCAAGACCTTAGTAATATGGAGCCCAAGTTCTTTCTTAGTTTCCTTTTGTGCTGCTACTCTGATATATTTATATTTAAATTAGCAAGTATGTTGATACCCCAGCAAACCAGTGGGAAACTTATAACACCACAGTGAATTGGAGATGATGGTTAGAGTCCTCCTTCACATACCATGTGCAGGACCACTCACATTCTTACATATTGCTAATGTTGGATCTCAGGTTTGATTGACCTAGCACATGAGCTGGATGGAGCAGCCTGGAATCTGGAGCCATTTCCACCTGGCTTTGTGAAAGAGTACGAGATTAAGGCAAATGGCAGGACAAGCATCATAATGAAGAAACCATTCTACAACATTGGAGATCGGCCATTCTTCAAGCCTTTCATCCCATATGACGGTGAGTTGTAAACATGCAAATGTACATACTGGAGTGTTGTATCCAATAAAAACTTGCATCATATCTTAGTGTAATATAAATTCTTTACATCATTTGGTTTGTTTATTGTTTTCTGCTGTAGAAACACTTGGCCATTTTTGTTCTGTGTGATCTGTGATCCTTATATTTCATGTTATCTTTTTGCCTTTCCTTCTTCTCCATCTCTTTCATCACAGGTTTGGTGTTTGGCCCTATTCCAGCCATGCAAGTTATTGATTCTTCCATCTCATTCTTGATCTCTTAAAATCCCTTTTCCACTGGGTTTATACAGTAGTACCACCTTAGATAATTGTTTATTTTTCACTCTTTCAAAGTGATCTTTCAACTTTTGTTTGTAATTCATTTATTTAGATTATAAATGTGTGATTTTTTCTTGTTGTCAGTACTTCTCTTGTGAACCCATAGAAATACCTCAGCTGTTGATTATAGAAAGTTTAATTTCTTCTGTTTCTACTTTCTATATCAGATATTTTCCATATTTCAGAGCTGTATGACAACACAGAGATCACAACAGATAACCAATGGATACAAATGGAAAACCATGGATATTTTAAATTTGTGAATTTAAATTGTTTTACTTGTGACAATACTGTTATCATTAGGTTGATATTCAAAGATGTTTTTCTCTTATAACGCACTATAGTAACCCAAGAGGGAGTGTTAGCTATGTAGGAAAAAACTTGCCACAAAAGGGTTAAAGAATTTCATTTTTGTAGGACATTTTCAGTTAAGTGCAGTGTCACTCATAATCCCCCCCAAAATTCTTGAGTTAAGTTTAATATTAACTTATATTCAGAATCTGTTTCAGAATTTGGAATGAAATATTCCAAATATGACATGGAAAGGACCGTTTAAATATGATATAACATTTGTGGATTGCAGAATTTCATAATTACATGGTTACATTATCTTGCAGCTCTGGTCAGTGAGGATATTCATGCCAACATCCGGACACTGCTGACTGCTGCAATCAAGAAGCGCCTTATGGCTGACCGACGAATAGGTTGCTTGTTGTCTGGGGGTTTGGATTCAAGCCTTGTGGCTGCACTACTAGTGAAGTTGGCAAAGGAGGCAAATTTGCCTTACAGAATTCAGGTATTTTGTAAAAAGAATAGTAAAGCTATCCCTGTACCAGGCTGTGAAGGCCCATAGGGTTGTGACACATTGAGGCTCCCACATTTTCTTTAGAGAATCGGCTCACAGATGGCGGTAAGGTTTAGGTCAATTTTAAAAATCCACATCCCTGGGACCCTGAGCCTGCAAACCTTCCAGCTTGTAGCATAGTGCCTCAACTAACTGTGCTATCATGTTGTCTTATTTATAGGTTAATTATATTTTGGTTTTCTTTATTGTTTATTGAGAATCACTATTAAACCTATCATCCAGAGTTGGATTAAATAAACACACCAGTAGGTGAATCACTCTCTTGATCACCACAAAGAGAAACTTAATTTGGGAAGTACAGAACAAGGAGAAGTCAGTTCCCATTGCTCCACAGACTGAAACCCATAGCTCTTCATGATCTTTATGTTTTGTTGTATGTTCAGAGTTCCCCTGCAGACATTAAAGTTGAGTGATTAGCAGTGCTGCTTCATGTTCAAGATGTTTCAGTTTTGATTATCAGTCTGAGGCCTGTCTATTCTGACTTCCTCCACCTCAAAGTCTCTCCACACTCTGACAAACTATCTTAATACTTGAACATTTTCACATTTATAATTTGGAATAATTCATCCTTTTGATTCTTTACCATCTATATATTACTTTTCTTTATTGGTAATGGGGTGCGACTAAGCCCCTTGTACTGCAGCCACTTCTTGTCTATTGTACCAGCCCCAGATGATAGGTGAGGGTGACTGTGGAGCAGTTGGTGGAATGAAGGGGCAGGGGAAACTGAAGTACTTGGAGAAAACCCGCCCCAGCGCCACTTTGTCCACCACAAATCCCACTTGACCAGACCCGGGATCGAACCCGGGCCACTGCAGTGGGAAGCCAGCGACTAACTGCATGGGCTGTGGTGCGGCCTACCATCTGTACAGGTGTGACATCATTATTTAAACAAAGATACAAGCAAACAAAACAATTGTTTTCTACCATTCAGTAGTATATAATTTATGTAGTGACAAGAACTAAGCGACAAACACACAGTATTGCAGATAAATCTGCTGTTACACATTTTAGCTGGTGTACTATCTGAAACATTTTATGTAGAACTGAAAGACTCAGCACCATAGTCTGGACAGCATTTATATCCATCATCAGTGGAATGCAGTATATACTTTGAAGATTACTGTAACCTGAGACATGGTGCCATGTTATCTGGTAGATTATCAGAATTTCAGAGGAACCAGCTACTGCTGTTTTCAGGATAGCATGAAGATGGAGGCAGCGGGTTTCTCCAAAACACTGGCAGTGACCTGTCAGACTACATGACATCACATCCCAGAATACAATCTTCATAGTCACTGCCTAGTGAACTGAAGGTTTCAAATGTGAACTTTGCCCAGTTGTCAGCAGGGAGTTTGCATTTGCATGCTAATTGGTGGAATAAAGATATAATGATACTAACATTGTGCTGCAAAGCGGCCTCCGTAGTCTAGAGGTAACGTTCCCACCTCATGACTCATGGTACGCGGGTTCAAATACCCAGCGGAGGTTGTCGAATTTTTTGGGGTGGAAAAATTCAGGGAACAAGTCCTCCGGGAGGGACTTTAAGCCGTGGGTCCCGTGTCATAGCTTTACGGCACATAAAAGAACCTCATATCTCCAAAGGAGATCACTGAGCCAAATTCAAGTACGTTTCCTGCCCAACAGTACTCTCTAAGGCCTCTGATAGATGGGGGAAGCATTATAGACACCGCCAAGCCAGTTGAGAATTCACTGGCTCGGTCGGGACTGATGACACGCACCGTTATCAGTAGGGTATAGAGACTGGTAGAATATCATAGAGGGAAGCACAACGGACCAGTACTGCTCTAAGTGCATGGGGAAACCCACCCTCTCCAATAACTAACTAACTAACATTATGCTGCAAAGATGTTTCCTTTTTATTGAAATTTATATGTAGATTGTGGAAGTTGAGTGAAATTAATTTTAAAAGTATTCATCAGCACTGAAATCATCTTGAGGATGAAAATCTTGCCTGATGTTTGCTTCTGTGAACTGAGAAAAAAAAGGAGAATGCCCATATGTTCTCAGAATATTATCAGAAATATGGAAGAACTTTAGTCAGTCACATGTCATTGATTTTGCAGTCATTTGCAATTGGTATGGGAGACAGTCCAGACATCAGAGCAGCACGAACAGTGGCACAACACATTGGAACAGAACATCATGAGGTCATTTTCACTCCGGAGGATGTGATTAGGGTGCTTGACAAAGTGATATACCATCTGGAAACACCTGACATCACGACTGTCAGGGCCTCCATTGGTGAGTTTTAGATGTCTTGCCTCCCTTTTACCTATTTTGGCTGTATATTGGACAATTATAACAGTACATATGCTGGTCCAGCTGGCTAAGGGTTGCAGCTATTATGGTACTAAGACTGTACTCACAAATTAAAATCTGTGATTCATATTGTGATTTTCTCCAAATGGAAAGGAATGAAAAATTATGTCAAGAAACTGTTTATCTTACAAGACTTATTGTATATAATTATGTTAAGATAATTTCTTGACATAAATAATTAAACTGTTTTTACACAAATAAAATCAATTACATAAACAAGTTAAATTTGTAAAACAATTAATGACATGTAAAGTAAATGGTGGAAGACCTCAGCTGAGAATCAGAGCAAATGTTTGGCATATCACTAAAGATTACGGTTGTGCGGTACCAGTAATGATTCCCGGTAGGTAGAAATTGTGAATACCAATTGTTGTTTTGACCACATTTGCACTGAATTGAGGTATGAGTTCCAGAAGATTACAAATTTCTTACACTGAATATGGGTGAATCATAATTTACAAAATACAGGAATACAGTGTTCGTATTGAGACTTGGCTTGGACCAGAAAAAGCATTCACTTAATACAGGAATATTAGTGTCTATGGTTTATGCTGACCGTCTTACAGTGTATACACTTTTTCACCTTATTCTTCACTTCCACACTACATGTTTCAGCACTAATGTGCCATCTTCACGTGTCTTTATGCACGTTAGGTGCATAAGGTGAAAAAGTGTATACACTGTAAGACGGTCAGCATAAACCATAGACATGAATCAGTGTAACAGGACGCTAAAATATAACATCAGGAATATTAGATCATGATTTAACTCTGTCTTTCTAAGGTATGGGATTTGTAATACAAATTTGCCTTGTCCATGATGCTGAGGGATTCATTGCACAACCCTAAATTGAATTTCCTTGTCATTGCCACTAGCTGGGCACTCCATTAAGTGATGTAACATTCAGCACAAACATTTTGTTCTGCCTGTAGGAATGTACCTGATATCACACTTCATCAAGCAAAACACCGACACAACAGTGGTGTTCAGTGGCGAGGGTGCTGATGAGGTGGCGCAGGGTTACATTTACTTCAGGGATGCCCCATCAGCAGAAATGGCCCATGAAGACAGTCTCCGTCTGCTCAAGGACATATATTTATTTGATGGACTGAGAGCTGACCGCACCACAGCGGCACACAGGTGAGGGACCCTGCCGAGAAAAAGAATAAATGAGAGACACTGAAGTGACAAGGTGCACTTCGGTGATCTTCAACATTTTTACATAATTCATTATCTTTTTATTGCTCATTCATTGCAGATACAATCTGTGTCTTAGTTTATCAGTTATCAAATATTAAATATTTTTTGAAAAATGAAAATTGTGAAAATGTCTCAAATTTCGCTGAAAAGATAAAGCACTGGGTTGGGACAAATTATTTTTATTGATTCCTATGAATGTATAAGGGGTGGGCCTTCTTGGGTGCTACATCCAAAAATACTTGAATTAAAACGTGTAGGGATTTGAGGTTTTCACAGTGGTGACTCTGTCTACTGGGATGTGATGCAACATAATCTGGTTAGATTGTTACTGACTTTTAGTGGACCATAGAGTGCATCTTCAGGGTAGAAGAGTGAAGAGTGTAACATTGGAGGAGTGCATTGCTTCAAAACATCAGTAACAGTCTGCTAGGCTCTGGGGCATCATACCCCAGAAGATAGTAATCTTCAAAACTTGTTGATCTTAATGGTATCTAGATTTTCTTATGTATAAAGTTACCCAATTTTGAGAAAAGTAGAAGTTAGATTTGACGTTAATATAGTGTGGGGTATTTATTGGACCATTGTTGACTAAAATGAGATTAACACTGTTTTTAATTGTAGACTCCCAATAAAAATGTGAAGAAAATCTATTGAGAAGTTTTGGATATGAAATATGAGAATGGACATCGTTACTTGTTGTATGCAGTTTGGAGCTGCGTGTACCTTTCCTCGACCTGCAGTTCACAAACTACTACTTGGGGCTACCAGCAGCTGCACGGCAGCCACAGGGAGGTGTTGAGAAGCATCTGCTGCGCTCTGCATTTGATTCAACAGATTTGCTGCCGAAGTCCATCCTGTGGAGACATAAAGAGGCATTCAGGTTAAGTGGGTTCATAGACTCTCAGTATCTGTTGGAAACCTTGAGTACCTTGAGGGACAGTCTGAATGCATGGTTTCACTGAATATACATATTATGAACTTTTTTTATTGCTGGTAGGGTGGGACTAAGTCCCTTGTACTGCGGCCACTTCTGGCCTATTGTACCAGCACCAGATGATAGGTGAGGGTGATTGTGGAGCAACTGGTGGAACGAAGATTGGCAGGGGAAACCGAAGTACTCGGAGAAAACCTGCCCCAGTGCCACTTTGTCCACCACAAATCCCACCTGACCAGACCCGCGATCTAACCCGGGCGACTGCGATGGGAAGCCAGCGACTAACCGCTTGAGCTATGGCACGACCGTATTATGAACTTAATACATTCTGAAAAAGTAGCTTCAAAGAATAAGCCAGAGAATGAGAACAGCAGCAACAGAACAGCAACAGCGGTAGTATAGATGTACCTCTTGGGTGTTTATTGCTGTCTTCTTCTCCTTCTTTCATAATTAACTGAGATGAATTTTGTATTTGTTTTCATAGAAGTGTCAGTGATTTATGATGTTCTTGTGGTGGAGACTATGAAGATTATTCACACAGTTGAATCTAATTTGCATTGCTGTAAACCTCATCCCCATGATCCAGTTCAGAAGTGACACTACCGTGCAAACAGTGATGAGCCTGTGCTAGGTCAGATGCCATGTGGTAGCATACCTTTATCATGAATATTATTCTTAATTTTTCAGTGATGGTGTGGCATCAGCAAAGAAGTCACTGTTCCAAGTGATTCAGGAATTGGTGGACTCCCATCTGAATATTGATGCGCTAGAGAAAGCACCTGGAAAGTACCCACACTGCACGCCAACCACCAAGGAGTCACTTTATTACAGGTATATGCTGTTGTGGGCAGATTCATGTTCAATAGGCAGCGTTTTGAGTATTGCTTATGCATATTATATATATTTATATGACATATTCCACATCCTACAGTCATTAGACTAATTTTGGATCCATGGAATGCAATGGAATGTAATAGTAATGTTCATAACAGTGGGATATGATGCTGTGTAGTTTAGTAGATGAATGTAGGAAGCCTCTTCTGACTTGATTGCTCTAACCTGGCCCTTATTAGAGTCTATTGACATCTCCCTTTCAAGGGCCTATTGATAACTGCTCTTTTTTAGGACGTCCTTTCCTCCTTCTCTCCCTTCTCTTCCCTTCCTAATCTGTATATTTACCAGTTCCTTCCTCATACACAACTTCCACTTTTATATTTTTTTAATAATCTTTTCTACCATTGTCCCTCTTAATGCTGTTTGTCTTTCACCATAAATAAAAGATCCCTTTTAATGGCCACTAGTTCTCACTGGTTGACTCTCATGGCCCCAGACCCAGTTCTCCTTTCCTTATATCTTATACCATCTCTCCTGGCTTCGCTCAGTCTTCTACCATAAAGACAGAGAAAGCAGATTCTTTTGAAACATTAGTACTTATCTACCAGACTACAAGGCATCAAATACCTGGAGACTGTAATCTTAACAGTGAGACAGGTGTATTTATTTATTCATACCTCATTTACTGGTGGTGTATAAACTGCAGTGGTTATGCATATATCATCGTTGAGACTACGAGGTTATATTGGGAAGGAGGCTGGACAAAGCTGTTGTGACTTATTTCAAGGTAGTATTCCAGTATGGCTGAGGAAACCCACAGAAATCTCAGTGTAACCAGTTGCCTGTCTGAAGATGTTATCCATAATATAACCAGTTTGGTGAATAGTTGCTATATTATAACATGCACTGCATATAAGATCTAAACATTTGTGATAATAATAATAATAATAATAATATCTTTATTGCTTCAAGAAAAACGTACAGGCGACACAATCACCACAGTTGTAGAAGCAGTCCCAAATAGTAAAATATACTATAATAAAACAGTTGCAATAATACAACTTAGTCAATGCTTAGTATAATAAATCAATAATAACTAAAATACGGACATTATAAGCAATTAATAATAAAAGTATACATACATTTATACAGAGTCTACAAAAACTACTACACATAAGTGTATCTAAATAAAACAAATATTCACCTGTATTCTATTTCCTTTCTTTTGACCACTCCAAGTATTCATTTATCGAATAAAATGATTGATTTAAGAGAAAATTATTTATAGCTAACTTAAATTTTTTATAATCACTCGATAATTTTCTTAAATTATGTGGCAGATTATTAAATATTTTAATACCCATACAACACACACTATTCTTATATTTGGCCAAATTTATCAATGGTACGTGTAAGCTGGTACTTTGTCGTGCATTTATGACATGTATTTCAGCATGATGGTACATTAGTACAAATATTATGTTTCTGGACACTATCCATCGTCTTGTCTTTATCTAAAAACACCGTCCTGTTTGTGTTTCAAAACACAATGTTTTGGAGACTGGATTCTGTCTCCATCTTCAGGTAAAATCTACTCAGTTTGGCCCAATTGATAGAGCTAGTCCCTATCTCCAGACCTCAAATTTTCTGAAATTGGGATATATACCCGTTCCATTCTGGTTATGTAAATAAGATCTAAAAGTCTGTGACAGTGGTACATCTATTGATTGGGCCCAACTGAGTGGGTTTTACCTGAAGACGGACACAGAATCCAGCCTCCAAAACATTGTGTTTTGAAAAATAAACAGGACAGTGTTTTTAGATATAGACAAGATGTCCAAAAACATAATAGTATTTGTACTAATGCAGTGCATAGTTTAAAAAATGCAAGATCAAAATTGAAATAGAAGTTTTGAAAGTTAATTTTAAAGTTACAGTATGAAATTCTGACAGCAATGAATATTGTGGTTATGTTCTTTTGGGATTCAGTACTGTGGGGCACCTTTGGCACTAATGTATCAGTGAAAAGGCCAGAATGGTCTGTTCACTGGGACCTCAGATCACGTCCCATCTGATGATCCTGGCAGACAAATGGGCCTTGTTGACTTTGGCGAAAATCACACAGGAATATCATTAAAACAGATATTGATGTGAGTAAGCCTTTATCAGTTTGAAGGCTGCAGATGTAGCACCTGCATCCAGAAATGAATTGCCCTTTTGGAGGGAAGTTTAGGGCATGTGGATGTGTTATACTCTTCTCCTCTCCTCTTTACAGACTGCTTGATGAAACTGATATTTTGCAGGGAGGTGTTCGAGAAGAACTTCCAACATCAGAGCCACTTCCTGCCTTACTTCTGGATGCCTCGCTGGACTGATGCAAGAGATCCATCAGCACGGTTCATCAGCCATTATGCAGCGGACAAACAGTGACTTGGTGAGAATTATAAATGTATGTGCTGTCCTAGTTTCAGACCATGCATATACTGTTAATGTACAACTGCTATTTGGAAAGTAACCTCTGTTTATTTTAGGCAACTGCTGTAGGAGTGGGGAGAGCTTGCACATGTGAGGCAGTGTCATTGCCTTGTAAACTATCACATAACTTGTCACCTAGTGTTTTTTCTTGTCTGTACAGAGTGAGTTATGATGTGTCCTGCGATTACTAATACTGACAGCTGCAAAATTCACGCTATTATCTGCTTTCTTCACATTAAAAACATGAGTGTTGCAGAAATTCATTGTGAATTATGCACAGCGGTTTACAGCCAAAATGCAGTGAGTGAAGGAACTCTAAGACAGTGGTGTAGAATGTTCAAAAATGGGCAGGTGAACAAATGTTCACGATGAAGAATGAAGTGTTTGCCCATCTGTAGTGAGTGATGATCTTGTTCAAAGTGTTGACCAAAAAATTTGTTAAAGACAGCACTTCACAATGTGAGAATTTTCATATGAATTTCCATAAATTTCACGCACTATTCTCCACCAGTTTATCAGTTAGGCTAGGTTATCACATTTCTTGACATGTCCAGTTGTATTCACTTCAGTTATGGACGAAAATAAAGTTGAAAGTTCTGCGCAAGATGGGTTCTGAAAATGCTCACAGCTGTACACAAAATGCAGAGAATGGCTTTGGCTTTGACATTTTCAGAGCGCTACCACAAAGATGGTGATGAATTTCTCAATCATGTCACAACAGGTGATAAAAGCTAGGTTTTGTCTGTGAATGCTGAAATCAAAGACCAGTCAAAGCAGTGGATGAACGTGCGTTCAGCAAACAAGCCAAAAAAGTTTAAACAGATGTGTGCTGGAAAGCTGATGGCATCTGTTTTCTGGGACAGTAAAGTAGTGCTGATGGTGGAATTCATGTGACATGGGACCACAGTAATGTTGGAAGTGCATTGCGAAACACTAAAAAGTTGTGTAGAGCCATTCAGAACACAAGGCATTTAGTGCTGACATCCAGTGTACTCATAGTGCTCCTCCATGACAGTGCACATCTGCATGCATCTGCTTGCACTTGAGCACCGCTAGAACGTTTGAACTGGGAGGTTTGATCTCTGTTCTTATGGCCCTGAGCTCACTCTGTGTGACTACCACCTGTTTACCTACATGAAGAACTGGGTGGGATTACAGTGCTTTAACAATAATTAGGTGTTGATGGAAGGTGTCAAAATGTGGCTGAGTTCACAGGCAGCAGACTTCTTTGACAAAGGCACACAAAAGCTTATTCCCCAATACAATTGCCTCAATTCTGGCGGTGAGTATGCTGAAAAGTAACTTAAGCATCTATGTATTTTTATATGTAATATATTTTTTTGTCATTGCTTGTTTTGTTAACAGCTCACTGGAGGTTACTTTCCAAATAGCCCTCATATTTCATTTGGTTTGGGCTTTGATGTTTGAAACATTTCACCCATTATCATTAGACGGATTAGCATGAATGTCGGAAGACTGGCATCTCCTTGAACCTTATCCTGAGGCTTTTCATTTCTATTTACAAGCTGCTTCTGTAGCAGTAATTTTATTTTTTCTTCCAATGAAAATTAAGTCATTATCAACTAAGATAATTTCCAAAATGTTGTTGGTCTGTCAGTCCGAACAGTTGTACCATCCCTTCAAGAAATCTATAGGTTTGTGCTTAAATTGTGCCAGTATTTTGTTTTGTCAACAATAGTGGTATCCTTGTGCTGTTCTCTTTCTTCCTTTTAAGTAAAGAATGCATTTTATTTATTGATATGCATCATTGAAGATAAAAAATTTAGATGTTTTCTGTAACTGTGCTGCAAGGGCAGATTGCTGTTTGAAGAAGTCTTTAAGTAGTAAAAGTAGGTGATAAGCACAGCGACTTTTAAGAGAAGTATGATTTTGTTTGCTCATGTCTAGGGGAAAATAAACAGAATCTGATTATTGTCATCAACACTGTTAAGAGTAAGGAAGTTATCTTTAAATCTCTCTGTGGAAAGTTGGTCACAGAATACAGCAATAGCCTTTATATGTATGTCAGCTAGAAATGTTGCTTGCTGTTAGAAGGGTCGGTGGTTGTGCGTACCTGGAGGTCAGGCAGAAAATTCAGTTGTTGCATAACTGACTGAATGGGAAGACATATGCACATAATTATCATTGTGCTTTCAAGGGTTGAGTAATTAGTTAACTGAATTTTATTTTTAGTTGGATCATTCGTGAATTTTGGCTTCATAATGCAAAAGAACTGACCTGGATACAATTCTATATTGTTCACTTGAACATGGAACTTTTGTGTTGAGTGCAAGACATAAATTACTCTTTGCAAACCATTCTCATCAGAAAAGGGATCAGGCATTAAACTGGTAGGTATTTCTATGGCCAGTATTTCAGGTAACTTTGACTTTATCTCCACTATGTCATTGGGCTTCTCCATATTTAATATAAATTATTATAATACCTTGGAGTGAGAATGGCTCAGTCAGTATACCAACAGGGTTGTAGACTGGATGACCAGAGTATCATTCCCTGCAGGGACAGAAATCTGCATATGAAGCTCATCCTGGTTTATATCCGATGTGGACCAGGGATCAGTGGTGGTACAGCAGGAGGCATATGAAACTGACCATTCATCTGTATCTACTGTAGAGGCTATGCAGGGGCTGAACAAAGTAATGAAAACACTACAGATACTGTACACATTCCATTATTAATGTTGTGACAGAATAATCCATTGCTAGGCATCGGCTCTGTAAACACTACCTAAAAGCCGGAATAGTGGAGCTAAAGCGGACATCCATTACTGAGTGACAGCTCGGTAATGTTCCCACTGCAACAAATAGCAACAAACGAGTTGTTGCTGGGTAGCAAGTCACTGAACACAAGGGTCCCGTGACAAGCAGAATAACAGAGGAACTGTTCAGTGTGGTGACTTACATTTGGGCCACATGGAAGTTATAAAAGGGTCATGATTCATTTGCAAGAGAGGACAGGAGTTCCATGTGTGAGCAGTGATTCGTCATTCATCATTCATCGCAGTAGAAGAGCAGACACTCATAGTCCAGTAAGGAATTGAGCGAGTCATTGATTGTGAGCTGTTATAATTGGTTGTAATTGTAAGGAAGTGCCAACAAATCCAATCACATAATCCATAACCCATTATTATTATTATCAGTCATGTAAACCCTGTATACATACCAGTATGGCGTTAGACCATCTTTTGCCTTCAGTACAGCCACGGTCCTTCTTGCAATGGACTCATACAGGTTTTGAGCACTCTCTAGTGGAATTTTATACCATTCTTCTTGGAGAACATCTTCAAGTTGTTTTAGAAATTTTGGCGGTGGGAATCTGCCCCTCACTATAGCCTCCAAAACTGACAAGTTGTTTAATGTTGTTCAAATCTGGTGATTGTGCTGACCAAGGAAGATGTTGAAGTCCACCTTCATGCCCTGCAGACCATGAATGAACAGTTCTATTTTTGTGAATGGGGCATTATCATCTTGGTGGAAAACTATTGTTCAAAAATATCTGGATCATGGGATGCACCTGATAGCCCAGTCTGTTCATGTACTCCCTTGCAGTAATTTGGCCGTGACTGGTAATAATGGGACCAACAGAATACCACAGTATTGCTGCCTAAACCATGACAGAACCTCCCCTGTGTTTCACTGTTGGAACCAGGCATTCCGGATTGTAGGCTTCCTTGGGTGTTCTCCAAACATAAACTCTTCCTGATATAGGGAACAGCGTGAAGGACGACTCATCTGACCATATGTGGGAATTTCCAGTTGTCTGATCCAGGTATTATGGTCATGACACCATTGTTCACACATCGCAGCAGAACTTAACGGTGATCAGAGGTTTAGCAGTTGCAGCCCTACAATGGATGTTGGATTTGTGAAGCTCATGTCAGACAGGTTTTGTGGAAACAGGGTCTTCAGGATACAAATTCGATTTTGCTGTCACCTGTGCTGCTGTAGTTGTGTGATTTTTTAAATAGTCCTCAGTATGTGACAGTCTCTTTCTGTCAGTATTGATTTTTGCCCACTGTTCCCTCTTTGCTCATGTCGTCTTCCCATTATTTGTGTATAGCGACATAACCTTAGAAACTGTCACTCTCACTACACCTAATAGTGTGTCAGTTTGTAACCTTAGAAACTGTCACTCTCACTACACCTAATAATGTGTCAGTTTTTGTCACAGATGCTCCAGCTAAATGCACGCAAATGATCTGGCCTCTTATATAATCAGACAGGTCTCTCATTTTCTGACCCTTTCACATGGACTCTCACTCAAGCCAATTAATTCAGTGACATGATCGCTACAGAACGTAAACAACGGAAGAAGAACATTCAGTGTTGTCAACTGAAGTTCTTTCAATGTAGCCAACGCAAACAGATTCCATTCACAATTTTGTAGTGTTTCCATTATTTTTCCACCCCGTGTATATGCATGGAACTATGCAATGAATTTCCCATCATGGCGTAGTGCTTAAATGAGCACAGAGACAACTTTTTATTTTGTAAATGTAAAATGTGTAATTAAATTACACTGTGAAAGTTAGTATGACATAAATAATATTTATTATTGTTTGCTGGTTTTGGTTGTGACTATGCATCTTTATATTTTGATATAAGAAAAAAAGTAGTCAAAAAGTTAATATTTTGTTACTGACTTAATTTATTACACTTGTTGTTCTTTTATAAAGGCATTTCACATTAAGGTGCTCTAAAGGACCTGTGTATGTGATTGAAATATAAATGTGGGAATTGAATGGTTTCTATGGAGTGTTTTGGAATTTTGAAACCTTCATAACTCCTCTTGAAGATGCCACCAACCTACCTCCCAGTCTGTACAGAATGAATATGTTAGTATGGTTTATAAAATGTGTTACATCTGTCAGGTTTATTCAAGGAACTGTGGAATGAAAATCTGTATTGGTGGTGCTGTAGCTCAGACTGGCATCTCTCAATAGGGACTTGGGCTGAACCCCCAGTTCCTTTACGTCAGATTCATGGTGGACACAGCGACACTGGAACAAGTTTTCCTCTGACGTGTGTAATGTCTTAGATTTCTTGATATAGGCTGTAATACAAGTGGTGGATGAACAGTATGACATTAAGTTCAGTATTTGTAATCAAGTTTTGCTTATCAGGAATTATAGCAGTTCAGTTGATCAAAGATTTGAGATGTTTACAGCAGTGAAGATTCATATTGTGTTGCTCTTGCTTGTATAGTCTAATAGGTGGATACTTTTAGGGGGTGTATAACCCTCCAATTTCTACGTTGAACATGGAGGAAGTATGATTCTGCAAGTCATAAATACACACCTCCTAGTTTGCATGGTATCAGAGCGTAGAAGACCATAGTATGAATACTTTTATGTATGATTTTGTGGTCATGAATAGAAAGAGAGTAGGGATAGGAGAACAGAAGTGGTACGGACTAGTAGGTAAACATCTGATGTACTTTGCTGCTGACTTCTATGGCACATGGTGGAACACTTTATCGATTGTAACATATGTGCCGTTCGTAGTTGGGAGAGAGGTCTGATGCAATGTTACAGTATGTCATGCATCTTTGGCTCATCTGTGGGTTTCTATTTCCCATTGCTGTCATGCTNCAGTATGTCATGCATCTTTGGCTCATCTGTGGGTTTCTATTTCCCACTGCTCTCCTCATTCAGCCTGCTGTCATGCCCTGTAGACCACTTGCTTGGGCCCTTCAAGAAGAGGTCACTGCAGCATCTGTGCGATTGAAGTGAGGGGTTCTATTTGTGACAAATGGTCATATTAAAATACAGTGGGAGGTGTTTAATCTGAGTTGGCTGTGTCCAAAGACATGTCAGCACAGACTACATGGGCTGCTATAGACACATCTGTACATGCAATATCACAAGCATGAGATGTGTGTATAGGCTATACAGCAGAGACACATCTAGACAGGCCCCTTAGGCACAGATGCCTCTGTAAAGGCTTCTGTCTAGTCTGGTGCCTGGTATGTCATATGTTAGTCTCAGTCAACACCTGTGCTGGCAGGTGCGTAACACAGGTGCCAGCACTTGGAGTGCATGGTCTAGCATCCATCTCCTTGTCTGCATCTAGAGTCGCATGGGTGCATCGTTGATGGGCTTCTCTGATGCTTGATTTCTCTGGCACTCGATTTCAGATGCCTAGGTTCACTGACGTATGGTGTCACCTGTATCTTGGCTCACAGTTGGGAGCCTTACCAACACAGCCTTATGTAGAGGCACTTTATCTGTATCTCACCTGACATTCATGATGCACAGCCTGGATGACATGAAAATTGACAAATATGATAATGGCCAGTGCTTTATATGGGCAGTGTCTGGACTTATCAGTGTTTGGCCATCATCTTAATGTGCTGGTGTTAGGCTTCATGTCATCCATGGAACAAGCATGTACAAATCCATGTATACAGCTTTATGTCATACTAAGAGGCAGGTCTGTGTGAGTGAGAGAAATCTATGCAGGCATGGAGGCGAGGAATAGCCAATGTTAAACACCATTACCAGGAAACGACTAATGGAAACTGTAACAGACTGAGAACATTGGTCTGTGTGCTGTAGTGATTTATAAAATGTGGAGATCAGCGATGGCGCTATAATTAAGTATAATTACAGGTTGTATTTAACATGGTCAATAAATCCAATATCCAATCCAAAACTCCGTCTGTAGTCACTCAAACACGTGACAGCTGGTGTCAGAAGGGGAATTGAATTGGATTGAGTTGTGAATTGTGCACCGTCAGAGTTGAACCCAGGAGATGGATAATTATGGCGGATTTCGAATGTCTGGCAGCCGCCATAGGAAGGCTTGAAGCCGTGATAACCAAGCCAAAATAGGGGCTGAAATAATAACCAACCAAGAAGAGACGAAAGAGGAGATGAAAGCCCAGGTGGGTTCACTCACCTCCTGGATCGTTGACAATCAAGAAGAAATGAAAGAGGAAATTAAATCTGGCCAAGCAGAAATGAAAGCCACAGTAAGCGCCATCTTACAAAAGGTGAAGTCCTTGCAAGAAGAGACAAAGGCTTATCCGGAGAAGCGGGAGGCAAACCCAGAAGAAATGAAGACCATAGCGGAGCGTCCAGAAGCCGCAGTGAAAACTGTTAGGGCACTGAAGAAACGGCATGGGGACTGGCATCTAGCTGTAGGGCACCGCCGACAGCTGAAGGAACGGACCCAGGGTGAAGGTGGGTCCCGGAAGAGGTTGAACATCGCCTGCAGAGGGATGTCGAGCAGAGACGACGAAAAAATCGGACCAGGGACCTCGAAAGGACGGACGTTCGGGAAGAGACGTCGGGCGCAACAACGGCATAAGGAACCGAGGCCTCAAAGAGCGATTACGTTTGGGAAGCAGGAGAACACTCAAGAAGACAGTAGAATTGTAGATCGTAAAGCATTGAACTCCCATTAAACTGCGGAAAATGAGTGTCAGGATATTGGGACATTATGGAGGGGTCGGTCCCCTCCGAAACGAAAGAAGAGACCACTAACAACTGTGCAACCCACTACGTTTTATCCGCCAGGAGTTTTCCATGGCGAGCATTCCAATAAATTTAAATTCTATAGAAAAACTGAACGGCTGGAAGTACATACACGCATCTTCACATAACTAATAAAACGTTCTGAAACAGCGTTGTATCTGTTCGCACAGAAATCTTACCCTCTGTGACACACTAGAGAAACCTCTAATATTGGCCACAATAAACGAAATATGTCATTTTACAGTGAACTGAATATTTTCGCAAAGAGTAAGTTTTACGAAATAGATAAGTTAAATGTAAAACGTAGGGAGTTTCAGATTCCCTCCCTAGGCATATCTGGCCTCTGCCATAATATATTAACACGATTATGAAATTCCCTTTGTGCTAAGGCTTCGTATGTAAGTTTGCCTTATTCACGAGCCCTAGGCCTAGAGGCGTCAAGAGAAGAAAGCAAATTAAATAATTATGCAGACTACTGAATAAGAGATGCTACACGATTCTTCTCACGGAATTCTTTGTTACTGAAAACTTCATTTGTTTCCTTCATTCTGTAATAAGAGGGCTGCCTGTGTAATTCGGTATCGTCCCTTGAAACATCTAAATCTATGTGTCAATTTAATTTTTATAATGACCACGGGTTTGACGGCCAAGGTTCGATACCCAGCAGGGATTTTCCTCTTCTCCATTATATCCACGCGGTCTCCTAATCACTCTTATCGGAAGTTATTTTACCAAGTAAAAATCAGAGTGTGATTCTAACTGTCCATCGCTACTAGCTGGGAGGTTAATTGATAATGGGCGGAGCTGTGTCAGCAGTTCCATATATGTTATCATGGTATGGGGCTTAAGCAGGGCACAGCTTTAACTTCGTTCAGGACTCCGACATCAGCAATGGCAACTTGGCAGCAGTGCAAATTTTGAGACAGAAGTATTAGTTCAATAAACATTACCGTGTCAGTAGTTACTATAGGATTCTGACGATGGTCTGTAACACATAGAGATATTGGGTTTTCGGACTTATCCATCGTCCTAGTTTTAATATAACTAAGAAAAACACGACGTTTAGGAAACTGGACCAGTGGTTGAGGCTAGCTCTTTCTAAGGGACCCAACAGAATAGGTGTTTTCCCTCCTGAGGACGGAAACAGATCCAGTTTCCGAAACGTCGTGTTTTTCTTAGTTATCTTAAAACTATGACGATGGATAAAGTCCGAAACCCCAGTATCTCTAAGTACCGTGTTATTTCGAAGTATTAGTTCAATAAACAGTACCATGTTATTTCTAGGGGGGACGAAACAGATCAGAATCATAATTCAAAATATATAACGAAAAATCATTTCAAATGATAAATCTAATATAAAAGTATCTGGATCAGAATATTATAGTCTTGAGTTGGGCTTCAATAATCTATTGTAATTTGAAACGAGGTTCGCGTATGATAAATTCTGGGGGTAGGGGGGGCATTCGTGTAACTGGGGATTCAAAATTATGAACGTCGTTGTTAGCACAGTCTCATGTCAAATGCGCAGGTCCAGCGAGTCATTGTAATTCCAGTCATATCAAAGGTTATGTGGTACTTGTGAGTGACATTAAACGCCCATTTCCTTGTACGTATATTCATGAATTTTACTTCAGGATGTAGAAGAATAATGCATATATAGGATACTGGTGGGAAAACCAAGACGTAGCTGGGTGGACAATATTAAAATGGATCTTATAGAGACAGAAAGGGATGGTATGAATTAGATTGCTCTGGCTGAGAATAGCGACCAGTGGAGGGCTCTTGTGAACACGGTTATGAACCTTCGGGTTCCATAAAATGCTGAGAAGTTCTTGAGTAGCTGCAGAATTGCCGGATTCTCGAAACGAAACACCGAACGAAGAATAAGGCGCCACATAAAATTAAGTTTTTCTATTACCGTAATTTTTTTCTAATTATTCAGTGTTTTTAAACGTATATACAGTTTATTAACATACGTGAAATGGAAGTTAATACTCTGCAAACTAAGCAGAAATTAACACCGCTAACATCTGAACGGTATTCAGTTGTTTCCATGAGCATTGGTATGAAGATAAATGCCACGAGATTTTCACCAGTGTAGCACTTCGTGACTCCTGAATTTAATTACCAACATGTTTGTTGTCATGAAACGAAAACAACGCAAAATAATATCTAAGTCCTGAACTTTCATTACAAATTATGAGCCACTATAGGCCTTTGTACAACTTATTTCATTTGTATGGTTCCACATTATAACATGTCTGGACGTTCTGTTTGTAACTTATGTCATTTATTTCATACAGTATATTTCCGTCTCAAGTGCAACTGTTATTAGTCACAGTTCTTCCTCACAACATGTTTCTGTCGTATATGGCCATCATCACGTGTCTTCTAGCTAGCTAAAATTGTTGCACTTTATAGTATGTTACAATTTCATACCGCGTGTGAACGCGATATTTCTCAATTAAAATAAATGTTCCTTAATTATAATTAGTTACAATTAATTAATTAATTAATTAATTAAAGGGGGCACGCGGTAGCGTAGTTGGTTGAGGCACTATGCTGCAAGCCGGAAGGTCGCGGGTTCAAGTCCCGATGAGGTCATTGGATTTTTTTTTCAATTGGCCTAATCCTTCCAGCCTATGGCCCTGGGGTCGACTCAGCCTCTAACAGAAATGAGTATCAGGAATTAATTAAATAACTTTCATGGGGAGTAAAGCACGGCCGGCGCGTAAGGCTGACAACCTTACCGCCATCTTTGAGCCGATTGTCTAGATAATGTGGGACTCTCAATGTCTCACAACCCTATGGGTCTTCACGGCCTGGTACAGGGATAGCTTTACTTTTTTTTTTAATTTTACAGTTAATTAATATACCAGTGTTATCCTTGTGGTCGTCGTCCATTCTTTTAAACGATGCTTGTTTGAGGTCTCTTATTTCAGATTTATTTGCGCAGCATTCCCTTTGCGGCGTGGGCATTATCTGTAATGTGTAAATGATGTGTTGTTATTTCATTATATTGTTACATATTCACGCCATCAGAAGCAACAACAGAAATTCTGGAACATATATATGGAACCAGAATGGATACTATAGATATTATAAAAACAGGAAGGAGAAGCAAACATTTAAATACCTTCGAAAAATATCACATCTATAGAATCAGCAAAGATAATCTACATATGAATGACATATATCGACACATACAACCCCATATTCGAGATATTACACGAGCTTTACACCAGATAGCAGCACACACCCTCAGTCGCGTCATAAAAGCAGGATTAGGCACACCGAACCGCACTGAACGCTCATAACATCAACATACAGACCGAGTAACAATACAATTACGCAGGTAGTGTGAAGAACCTACAGGCTAAGGGGGCACACGTGAGTATAAAGAGTAAACTAACCTAGAGACACATAAAATATGACAAATAATATATAATAACATAATATATTTTGCAGATAACGAAACTGATAACACAACATAAACATCTTTAAGAACTGCACAAATAACACGCGTAAGTACAACTATAAGCAACTACTAAGACTTAATAAATCTAACAGTAAAATTATATAACACAACACAATATTTACACATCACATATAACACCCACGCCGCAAAGAGAATGCTGCACAAATAAATCCGAAACAAAAGACCTCAAACAAACATCGTTTAAAAGAATGGACGACGACCGCAAGGATAACAACGGGATATTAATTTTAATTATGGTCAATTTATTTTAATTAAGAAATATCGCGTTCACACGTGATACGAAATTTTGCATACTATACAGTGCAACAAATTTAGCGAGATAGAAGACACTTGATGATGGCCTTATATGGCCTAAACATTTTGTGAGGAAGAACTGTGACTAATAATAGTTGCATTGAAGACAGAAATAAGTGATATATTAATGCAACAGGATGCTTAAATATAATATTAAACTTATTATATGTTACAATTGCCATTGTGTCTACAAGGCCAACTTCTGCGGTTATGTTTTCCGACCGAATACATAAACCAGTCTTTTGTACATTTATCTATCCGATTTAATTTCCTTCATAAAATGTCAGCAGTACTCTTGAAATAACAGAAATTACACTATTTAATGGTACTCTATTATTGAACTGATATTTCTTAAAAATTCTTCCGTCTTTTGCTTGTTTGTTTTTTTCATCCTGTTGTGTTATGGAGTCAATGTACAAGCTGGCTGTTTACACAACAATTGTAAATGAAGTTAATAAAAACGTCCACTCATCACCACAGCACAAACGCATACGCCGTCTTTTGCTACAACATAATTTGGATACTGTCGTAGATCCAGGAGATAAACATAATATACATGAAGTACTCCGTGGCTTCAGTCCACAAACGAACTATACCGACCGAGCGACCGCCGCTTGTCGGCGAAGTTGGTATATAATAGAAACATGAGCTGTAGGATCAAAAAAGAAAAAAAAAAGAAAACGTAATGGGAGATAATATCAGTAAACATTAATTTTTTTCTTATTTTACTAACTTCATTAACAGTTTTGTAGACCGCCATCTTGTACCTTAATATGTATTTAAATTACGAGTGTTTAAATCTGCAGGAGTGGGAATCCAAGAGAAGGTATGAATAGCACAGAACATCGTAACATGACGAGCGATAACACTGCTTTTGTGATGCCTGTTAAATTTGCAGGTAGTCGGAGAATTTGTCTAGGGTACTGCCAGGATTTTATGCGGGAGGGGGAAGAAAATTTGTTGTGAAATTTACGTTTAAGCCGTTTAAGAATATTTCTACTGATCACATAGAGTATTTGGAATAGAACGATATTGTTTAAATATTTCAATTATTATTTGGTAGATTTCTTCAGGAGCCGGGATAGCGCGCAGTCGGTATAGTGACTGGCTGGCCAGAGGGGTCGGAGTTCGAGTCCCAGTAGGGTCAAGAATTTTCTCTGCTCCACGTCGTCCAAACCCAACCTCCTATCCAGTGGGTACTTGGGGCTCCTTAGGGTAAAGCGGCCGGGCCCTGAAGCTGACCAGTCACCTCCAACTAGTGCCGAGGTCAATAAAACATGTATTTATACGTAGGTAAATCAATAAGTAAGTTACAAATGGATATAGAACTTAAACAAATAAGAGTACTGATTTGAAAAATGCTTTTATTTCTCAACATAATCTCCCTGTACATTGAGGCACTTGTCCCATCTTTTCACAAGCCCCTCAAAACCAGCAGCATGAAATTCTTTGGGCTGCTGTCGGAACCAGGCGGTGACTTCCCTTTCTACAGCTCCATCGTCGGGAAAATGTTCAGCCGAAAGATGATGTTTAAGAGGGCCGAACAAAGGGAAGTCACATGACAGGTTAGGTTTTCACAAAGTCTGTGCACGATGGGTGCTGCACATGCTGACTCCACAACACAAAATGCAAAGAATGGGTCTGGCATTACAGCATCTCAATAACTACCACGATGCAGGACACGATATGCTAGCCCGAATTGTCACAGGTGATGAGTCTTGCTCCAAGCGACTTCCATTTGTTCGGCCCTCTTGAACTTCATCTTTCGGCTGAACATTTTCCCGACGATGGAGCTGTAGAAAGGGAAGTCACCGCCTGGTTCCGACAGCAGCCCAAAGAATTTCATGCTGCTGGTTTTGAGGGGCTTGTGAAAAGATGGGACAAGTGCCTCAATGTACAGGGAGATTATGTTGAGAAATAAAAGCATTTTTCAAATCAGTACTCTTATTTAAGTTCTATATCCATTTGTAACTTACTTATTGATTTACCCCCGTACATCAAGTCCCCCAAAGCGTATAATGTTTAATTAGTTGAGCATAGGGACAATTTTACCCATGAAATTTATTCAATTTTGTTTACTTTTTAAAAACACGGGGTGGGGGGGCAAATACATGGTTCCCTCACCAGTAATAACGTCTCGAAATGTTACGGGCAACACGTTCATATAGGTATACATCGAGAGGAGTATGTTCAAGGATGTCTTAGGCATTACGCGCGTACGTATATTGCGTTGATGTAACAGATATCACGTGACAGTAACTTGCAGGATAACAGACATCACTTGCTTCTGTCCCTTATGCAATTCAACTTGCGTGTGTATTTTTAAGGTAACCTACGCGGTAACGAATTATTAATTCACGAAACGCCCGATTCAAGTACCGCGAAGTTTCCTGCACTGATATGGTATTTTTATATACCATATTCACAAACGCTAGACGTAGAGATTCTCAAGTAAAGAAGGCTCAATAATAAATTGATCAGTCCGCGTGATATTGGCTGTCAAAGTTCAGCCTTCACACAAACAAAGCAACAGTTTAAACTAAACTGAACTGTGGCTTAATATTATCTCATTCCCATATAAATTGTTACTCAAAACTATGATTCGCTTAGGTACAAAACACGATATTGAACTGAGCTATTAATATTAGAGAAGAATTCTGAAATACAAGACATCTGAAGAATGACTTTTTGCTGAACATCGCTAGGACAATGTTTATGATATTACAGAGTGTGCTGATGCAGACGTCTGCTGCCAACATTGCCAGGACCATATTGTATATGGTTTTACTAAGTGTGTTCATGCAGACATCTGGCCAAGTACAGAGGCACGCTATACAATGTTTGGTCGAAATTTCATCAAGACACTTGACATCAGCACATGCCCTTGTAGTTTCATATAACAGTGCTCAGTTTCAAGATAATCAAAGCACAGTTTTCGGAAAGGAATGTCGTAACAGAAGAAACGCATTTTATTTAGAAATTGACTTTGTGGATAAACTTCTATGCGATTTACAGGAGTCAGAAAAATGGTTGTCTTTAGTTTATTTCAACAATATGAACGAGATGCCACAAAATCGACATGGAAGTTACATGATAATATCAATGCATCACCATCGTCAAACTGTGGTACAAGATATATCGGCCCAGGTGAAGAGACTCAGAAGTGGATGGAACTGGAATCCAAGAGCAAAATTCGTAATATCAGTGACAAATGCGCAAGTAAACTCTACCGAAGAGCTTGTGGCAGACCTTTTTGCCGAATTATGGAGATGGAGGGTGGTAAATGCTATTGTTCTGAGCCCTGCTCCAGGACCGTACAACGCAACTCAACTAGAAGTGTACACTTGGTTCCCATACCATCCACCTGGTCGATGTGGTAACGTTAGAGACGCGGTTGTGCTGGATCGTTGGATTGTCGATGAGAGAGGTAATGGGAACTTTCTGTATAATGCATCGCTGTTTCCAGAGAAAGTTCCAAATGATCTCCAAAGTTGCCCCATAATCGCTTCAGTTTTTGAGTTACAACCAGCGGTAATGAGTAAGAGAGGCATGGCACAAGGCTCTGTCTCCGCGCACACTGTGTTTAACGAAGGCATTGAGATACGACTACTCCAAGAATTAGCAAAAAGCAGCAATATGTCTATTGAATATACACAACCATCAATGGATGAGTTATGGGGAGTTCCCCTAGAAAACGGATCATGGTCGGGGACTTCAGGTCAACTAATTCAAGGTTCGGTGGACGTGGCTATGGACTTCTACTTTTACAGATGTGACGTAATTAAAGAGACAGAATGTCTGACACCTCACTTGATCGACAAGGTGCGGTGGTATGTTCCATGTGCTGCACCTTATCCTGGCTGGATGAGTCTCATCAGGGTGTTTACTCTGTCACTCTGGTTGGGGTTCCTGGCATCTTATTTCATTGTCGCTGTAGCCATGTGGCAAGTGGTAAAAATAAGCAACAAGATGTTTGTAAGGCCAACTGAGAACCAGGCTTATACCAACCTCACTAAGTGTCTCATCAACTTCTGGGCAGTTATCCTAGGTGAGTCTGCCCCTAATAACCCACCTCAAGAGCCTGTGATCAGAGCAGTGTTTCTTATATGGATCTTGTACTGTTTGGCTATCAACACTGTCTACCAGACATACCTAACTACATTCTTAGTAGATCCAGGTCTTGAACACCAGTTAGGTTCCGAAGATGAGGTCATCAACTCCGGGATGGAATACGGTATCCCTAGTACTATTGCAACTGTCATCACAGATTTAACAGGTTATCGTTACCGAAATTTATTGTACTGTGATGATCATAAAGCCTGTCAGAACAGAATTGCTTTCAAACGTGACTTTTCATATATATACTCCACAATGAGTATGGAGTTCATTATTGCTGCTAGGTACATGGATGGGAATGGGAAGCAGCTTATCTGTTCTTTTGAAGAGATAATTTCCTCTCAGTTGATAACCATGCCAGTACCAAAGGGATATGTTATGTTAGATAGGTTCAACAAAATTATTTTGCATTTGTTGCAGGCTGGGATCATAGATCAGTGGTTCAGAGACATCAAATATACCACATTCTTGAGTTCTACAGCAAGAACTACTTTGTCAAGGGGGGAATATATTAAGTTGAGCTTGATGCACATGCAATCCGCTGTTTATATTCTCCTCTTGGGTATTATTTTATCCCTTATAGTTTTCCTCTCGGAGATATTATTCTGTAGAAATCTGCATCCCTTACATTCATAAATATGTACCACTCTTCACTAGTGGAGACAGCCAATGCAATGCACTGTGTACCAGTATCTAAATATTATGTCACCAGGCCAGTTCAGTTACATTCCCTACCCTCTTTCTTCTGTTTGTTGACAATCATAAGGACAGAGATTTGTGTGAAGCTTGCCTGGAAACTTTTTAAATTCAGTTTGACACTCCATAGGCCTCTTTTCACTTATGGTATCTATTTAAGCACTCATGCACTAGATACATAATCTCTGTAGCCATGAAATGGTTGACATAGAATAAACATGTTTTCACTAATTCTGCAAATAGTCTTCCTTGGGTTGTGCGCACTTCCCTACTTCTCAAGCAGAGAAGAAATCCATGAAATAACAAACCTTTGTCTTGCTCCCCAAACTACTCCGAAATAGCTCCTCTAAATTCATCGTCGCTTCAAAGCCAATATGAAATAATCACTGGAAGTCAAATCTGGACTGTAGGGTTGTTGGTTGTATAATCAGAACACCATCCCTTCAGGCACCTATTGCTTTTTGTAACATGTATTGGAGTGCTGTCATCATCATCTGTAACACTCTTATCACTTTTGTTCATAATTTCCTTTGAATTTTGAAGCACGTTAACATATTTCCAACAAAGCGCAGTGTGGATGGGACACAAGGATTCCATTGTATTGACTGGCAAAAATGTTGCAATTCCACAAAACCACAACTGCACACGTAACCCCATAAAAGTTTGTACATCCACTATAATAAGTGTTCAAATTGTGTACCGTTAGCTAGCCTACACTAGTCTTACTCTTGCTGGAGTTACGGCTGCACACATGCCAGGTACATTGTCCTGAGTGCAGCAGTGCTTTGTAGCTTATCGTATACCAGACTGCAAGAGATCCCACACGAAAACACTGAGTGGTCTTTGATTCTGTAACAGTACTTTGAACATACTGTATGCAACAAGGGAATAAAACTGTAAAGTTTACTTACATACAATAAGTATAAAGAGATTATGTGAATAAACATGTTTAGGTGTACAAACAAAAAACAAATTATATTCTTGACTGCACAGATGTTCGATTAAAATCGGTTTTATTAACATTTAAAGTGCATATGGATGAACATTTATTTCATATTCAGAATGATCTGAAACAACTGCCATTGTTTTCCAACCTTTCTTTACAATACACCATTAGGGAGGGCGAGGGAAATCATGATGGACTGGAATTGAATGGAACACATCAGCTTATGTTTATAGGAATGACATGACTTTACTGGACAAATACATAAACTTCATAAAACAGAGAGTCCTACTGCACACTAGTAGCGAGGCTGACGTTGAAGTAAACCATGTGTTCATGTCTTGTCACCAGAATGCAGGACAAAATCTTAATATAGATGTTTTATTTCATATAATATATTTCTGTCTCCAGTGCTACTTGTTAGTCACCCTTCTTCCTCGCAACATTTTGGCCGTATACAGCCATCATCAGGTGTCTTCTATTTTGCCGAAATTGTTGCGCTGTATGGTATGTCAAAATTTCATATCGTGTATGAACATGACACTTCTTAATTTGAGTTAATTAAAACTAGTTAAAATTAGTTAATATCCCAATATCATTATTGTGATCATCGTCCATTCGTCAAACTGGTATTTGTTTGAGGTCTCCAGTTTTGGATTCATTTGTGCAACAGTTCCAGCGATGTGGTGTTATGAGTGTTATTGTGTAGGTCTTAAGGATGTTAGTGTAGTGTTGTCATTTTCATTATGTATGGCTCGTTGGCTGTAGATTTTTCACCCAGCCTGTGTATGTAGATATAAAGATGATTTAAAAATTCTTAAAAATGTGGCAAATGTCACGTAGTTTGCAGCAACAATAAAAAATCAAAACTGTATGCATGAAGAAATTAAGAGCAAACTAAATTTGCTTAATGATGGCTACACTTAAGTTGGAATCTTTTTTCTTCCAATCTCTCCAAAGATACAAAAATTATAATATACGAAATTATAATATTACCCTTCATTTTGTATACCTGTGAAACTTGGTCTCTCACATTAAGGGAAGAAGATACTGAGGGGAGATAAGGAGAATATCTGGACCTAGGAGAGAGGATATAACAGGATACTGGAGGAAACTGCATGATGATTTTCATATATGTTCTCTTCACCAGGTATTGTTAGAATGACAAAACTAATACGGATGTAATGGATGGAGGACGTAAGTGATGATGAACACATACAAAATTCTGGTCAGAAAACCTAAATGGAAAAGATCACTAGGGAGACCTTGGCACAGGTTAGAGAATAATATTAAAATAAATCTTAAAGAAACAGGATATGAAGTAGAATGGATTCATGTAACTCAGGATTGGGACCGATGGAAGATACCTGTGAGAACAGTAATGAACCTTTAGTTTTCATAAAGGACAGGGAATTCCTCAACCTGCCGAGTGACTGTTAGCTTTTCAAGTAGTTAGATACATATAAGTTGTCATGTATAATTATGTTTCGTACCATCATCAGTCACCATTCTGATGTATTTGTCTTATGGCCTGTTAGAGTTGCATACCACCTCTTTAGTGGTCTTCCTAAACATCTCTTCCCCCAAGGATTGTATGATGTAATCTGTTTTTGTGGTGCTGTTTTCAGATTTTTAAAATGTTGTTTGGAATCAGTTTGGCAATCTTATGTGCGCTTAATTTGATGATGCATGACAGAACATTTTCTATGTAAGGTTATCCTTGTGCTTAATTAATTAATTAAGCACCATGCCAGGAAGGTGCATGAGAAAGTGGAGATATGTTTCACCATTCTTAGCCTCAACATTAGATAGAGTTGAGTGGTCACTTTCACACTTCTGTTACTGTATACCCAAGGAAACAGCCTCTGGTACTCATTTTATAGAAGGCTGGGTGGGCGTCACAGCTGGTGCACACACCACGCAGAAGAAACAATCCCTTATTCCTGCCTGAATTAAACTACAATTCCTCACTCATCCAATCAATAACCTAGTCACTACACCAACCAAGCTATAAAAAATAAAGAAAAATAAAACAACTGAAGGACATGACAGAGATGAAAAAAAACAACCTTCAGAGATAACAAGGAAAATGAGAAAGAAACGTGCTTCACAGAAACTTCAAACCTCAGAGTAAACTTTCTTTATAAATTTCACAAAAAATTCACATTGGGGAATTTAAATAAATGTTCACTAAAAATTTCACAGTTCTAAGATGTCTGCTCTGTGTGGCTACGCCTATGTTTATCAAGATTTTCTTTACGTGAGAAACTTTTCTTGCACATTTCACAACTGTAAGATTTTTCACCTGTGTGGATTCGGCTGTGTCGTAAGAGATTTTCACTACGTGAGAAATGTTTATTGCATACTATACAACTGTAAGGTTTTTCCCCTGTGTGTGTCCTAATATGTTTCGCCCGATTTCCACTATCTGAAAAACGTTTATTGCATATACCACACTTGTAACGCTTAGCCGACACATTACTTTTATCTAGTACCTCAAGACTTTCCCTGTGCAAGAAATGCATATCATTTTCACCACTATAAGATTTTTCCACTGTATGGGTGCGTGTGTGCTTTGCAAGATTCTCACTACGTGAAAATGATTTTTCACAAATTTCACACGTGAAACACTTTTCTCCAGAATGGATTCGCCTATGCCTTGTTAGATTTTCACTCCTAGAGAATGCTTTGTCACATATATCACAACTATAGGGCTTTTCACCAGTATGGGTCCGTTTATGTTTTGCAAGGTTACCACTATCTGCAAAAGTTTTATCACACATTCCACAATTGTATGGCTTGTCTACTAAATGAGAGCGACTATGATGAGCTAGACTTTCCATATCTGAAAAAATTCCATCACATAGCTGACAACTATAACACTTGTCTCCTGCATCGATACATTTGTGCCTCACTAAACTTCCGATAATAATGAATGTTTTACTGCATATTTTGCATTTGTATGGGTGCTCACCAGTGTGTTTACCTATATGCAACTTAAGGTTACCTAGCTTTGAAAACTCCTTATTGCATTCCGCACACCTATAGTGCTTCAGCTGAGATTTCTTTGTTGCATTATGACATTCTCTTGACACATTTACACTACCATTTGAACTGGAGGCATCAGTGTTTCTCTTGGGAATCTCAGGGAATACACTTAGAAGTGCTGGACTGCAATCACTGTCAGACATTTCTTGTTGGCTTATTAACACCTCCACACTGCAAAAGAAAACCAACACCACCACAAGAAGAAATTATAAATAGTTTTAGTTTCCGAACCTCACACTTTAAAAATAAGTATCATCTGAATAAAAATACAGTGGGTCTTCATTACAGAGTTCCTGGCTACAGATACAGAGGTCCTGGGTTCGATTCCCGGCGCTACCAGATTTTGTGAGAAGTGGTGGGTCTGGAACGGGGTGCACTCAGCCTTGTGAGAATAACTGAGGAACTACCTGAATGGAAAAGTAGAGGCTCTGGTTTAGAATCCAAAATTAATGACTGCGGGGATTTGTTGCACTGACTACACGACACCCTCTATCCGCTAAGTTGGTACTAACTTCGCTGACAAGTGGTGGTCGCTCGGCCGGTATAGTTCGCTTGTGGACTAAAGNGCCATGGATTTTTTTTTTTTTTTTTTTAGGCCTTCATTACAAAGTGGATGCTGGGGGACAGCTTCAGTACTCATGTTAAAGCTACTTGCATTAGAGTGAAATTGGCATTTACATAATTTTGGAATATCATTATTATATGTATAATATTTGTGCATCAACTAAAATATGTATATGAAATTTAAGGTACAATTCAAACTGTGGTCAAGTATATAAAATAAGTATCCATTAAATTTTTGCCTTTGAGCAAAGTAATCTGAAGGTTAGAGAAACCAGAAACATATACTCGTAGCCTATTCACAGCAGACCAAGGACTTCATCCTGATGACAGAATACCAAATACTACTGCCATTAGTACATACTAGCTTGTCCAAAAACATTTTTCCTTTTCTACTTCATACTCATTGAAATATATCTAACAATGTGTCTCCTTCATGTATAATGGTAGATCATGTTATCTAATTTGGAAAAAAAAATTCAGTGTGATCTATAAATGTTATTTTAAGGTATCATTTATCCACAATATATGTTGATGTGGATGGACAGACTGAAGATAACAGTTAATAACACATTAGTGAAATGTGCTTATCTGATAAATTCTGGATCTAAGGAATGCATGCCTGTCTCTCTGTTAAGTAAAATGACAAATTTAAAATTTTTATTATAGCACACTCACCTTCCTGGATATACTCCATAATCTTCTGAAGATCCTTTATCACTGGACTCTTCCCTGATTGATGTGACATTCTGCAACTCTTCCTGCGAGGGAAAATATATCTAATAACATAAAATTAGTGCTCAGATGTCCACGTAATTACAAGCAGTGCAAGCAACACCATGATATCAGATATATTAGCAAAATTCTTCATTACAGTAAATCAAATGATCCCAAGAATTAGTCAAACAAATGATTTCTTTGTCATAATTACTATTCTTTTTCAGAAGCTTCAAACATGGCTTTTCTTTTGGAAGTTCTGAGACAACTCATACTGTCTACATCACAAAAATATCTGAAGTAGTAATTACTTCTAAATATATTTAACTATGCGGCTGTAACTGTATATATTACATAATACTGAAGAAGGCAATGGTTATTGCCAGTGGTGGGAGGAAGCAGTCATGGTATTCACATAGAAGACCAAGAAAAATCACAAAAACCTCCTAACAATATCTGAACTACATCAACACACAATAATATAAAGAAAAAATAAACATAACTAAAACCATAGTAACCATGAAGAAAATTGGGCTGGCCCAAAGAAAGCTTCTGTGTGTGTGTGGGCAATTACCTAATGGAGCACAGTTCTTCAAAATTGCGCACCTTTCATAGTCCTCAAAGGTTCATCACAACATTCACAAGAAGCTGCCACTCAATCTCACCCCAAGTGAAGTGCATCTGGCCCACCATATTTAAAGATCAATCTTAATGTTACCTTTTGCTTTATACCGATGTCTTCTTTATGGTATCCTCACTTCAGATGCAACACAGGAGCAAATATAAAGAAAAAGAACTTTACAATATCATGCTCCAGATGCAATATGGGTGAACTGACACCTGTTCAGCACTGTTTTTCAGCTTCACTACTGTCACTGTTCCATTGCTCATATAACTAATGCAACAATACCAAAACAGTATGCAAACAGAAGAGACGTATAAGACCAGTGACCATACTGTACAAATATATCATTCATGAAATGCATTGAAGCAGATGAATATATATTTGGGGAACAGAAATGACAATTTGAAAGACAGTAACAGAAAATTAGTCTCAAGAACATGATAAAACTAAAGCAAAAATAATCAGACTGCCAACCTGACTATACAGGGTGTCCCAGGAGGAATGGACCAAACTTCGGGAGGGTGTTCCTTATGTTGAAGTATGCCGATATAACCCAAAACACCTATGTCCAAAGTTGAACGGTTACGGAGATAATGGCCCAAGAAAAGTGTGGTCTTCTTGCAGGTCCACACACTGTGGACAGTCAGCTGTGACTGTTATCTGTTTGTACTTGAGTGTGGTGATGTCACACTAGCCGTGATCTCATGCGCAACCTACCAGAGCCTACATATTACGTTGCGGCGGNATTATTAACATTACAGAATCCACATATTCCTGCCAGTTTTAATATGTATTTTGTAATCAACAAGTGTGTAACACCGGTCAAAGTTTGACACTTCTCTGGCCATTATCTCCGTAACCGTTCAACTTTGGACATAGGTGTTTTGGGTTATATCGGCATACTTTAACATAAGGAACACCCTCCCGAAGTTTGGTCCATTCCTCCTGGGACACCCTGTATATATTGTAATGTGTATAACTGTTGCTGGGTAGCAAACTTGAAACAAACAATGAAACAACATTTGCTGCTAGGCAACAGATTTTTAATAAGCAAGTATACATGGCCATTGCTAGGTGATGCCTTCATGGACAGACATCTTCCCAAGGAGATGATTGGAGCAACGATGGAAGAGCTGTTTTCTACATGGTCCATGCCGAGGGGTTATAAGCAAGACGAGGTTTAGAGCTTAGTTCAAGTGACTAGACTGATGTTGTAGCAGGATCTACTGATTATAGGGCATGATCTGCTGTACTGAGCCTGGTTTGACAGAGGCCTTGTATATGTTGTATATACATACATTTAATAACATGTAAAATGTAAATTGTACGAAGGGGGACCCAAAAATAACCGGAAACGACCTGTTGCACGCGCATGCTTTGTAGTTATGAGTTGTGCTGCTAGGTGGTGTTAGCTGGGGGTCTCCCGCGACTGTTAGTGAGCTGGCGTCAGTCTGAGTTAAGTGGTTTGTCTGTGGTGCTCTGTTGTGTGCATTCCTGTTTCAACCCTTTGGCGATTAGTGAGATGGCGGACCAGAAGGAACAAAGAGTGTGTGTGAAATTTTGCTTTCTGTTAGGGAAAACTGCAGCCGAGACTGTTGGGATGCTTCGGCAAGCCTTTAATGATGATGCTTTGGGGAAATCACAGGTCTACGAGTGGTTTTCCCGTTTCAAATCTGGCAACATGTCAACAGAAGACATGCCACGCCCCGGGCGTCCTTCGACAGGAAGAAATGACGAAAACATTGCCAAAATCAAACGTGCAATTGATGAAGATCGTCGAAAGACCATTGACCAACTTTCTGAGGAAACGAACATCTCATGGAGCACGGTCCAGCGAATTTTAACCGAAGGTTTGCACATGAGACGGGTGTCTGCAAAATTTGTTCCTCGCATGCTCAGAGATGACCAAAGAGAAAACCGCGTGAATGTTTGCCGCGACTTGAAGAGTGAAGTGCAGTTTTCCCTAACAGAAAGCAAAATTTCACGCACACTCTTTGTTCCTTCTGGTCGGCCATCTCACTAATCGCCAAAGGGTTGAAACAGGAACGCACACAACAGAGCACCACAGACAAACCACTTAACTCAGACTGACGCCAGCTCACTAACAGTCGCGGGAGACCCCCAGCTAACACCACCTAGCAGCACAACTCGTAACTACAAAGCATGCGCGCGCAACAGGTCGTTTCCGGTTATTTTTGGGTCCCCCCTCGTCCATACTGACAACAGACTTACTACTGCTGACTGTGACTCTGGCGACAGACAGACATGTCCTCTAGTCAGAGAAAGCACCCCATATCAACAAACGTGCAGCTGTCTGACGGTAATAAAGATCTGGTCTTAAACTCCAGATGGGTGCTTTATTCCAAGACAGACTGGCCGCCTGACCATTGGTTGTAACACAACTTTGACTTTGAATTGAGCTTAGTCAGTTGTTAGCCAGTCTGTGAAGAGAAGACCAGGAGGTTGGTGTGAGATGGCTGCAAGCCTAGGAGTTAGAGAACTGCAATTCAGTCACTGAATCACTGCTCTTAGAAGCTGGTAGCTGAGCCACAGAAGTAAGGAATGGCTGCTGTTGGAAGTCATTACCAGGCAATAGCTAGTGGAGACTGTAACAGACTGAAGACACTAGTCTGTGTGTGACAATGATCTGTAAAGTGTAGTCATGAGTTGTGTGTGTAAGTGGTCAACAAATCAAGTCACCAATCCAAACCCCATCTATAGTCATTCTTAACATGTAACAGTATGTTATATATGTTAGAACAGAAAGTTTACTTAACAATGCTATGTAATTTGTTCAGAAAAAAAACAATTAAAAAAAAGTAAAGCTATCCCTGAAACAGGCCATGGAGGCCCAGAGGGTTGTGAGATGTCGAGGTTCTCACAGTTTCTAGACAGCCGGTTCACAGATGGCAGTGAGGCTGTCAGCCTTACATGCTGGCCACCCTTTATCCTAGGAAGATTCCTGGTACTCATTTCTGTTGGAGGCTGAGTCGACCCCAGGGCCACAGTCTAGTTGGCCGGATTAGGTCAATTTAATAATCCAATGACATCAGGAATCAAACTCACTACCTTCTAGCTTGTAACACTGTTCCTCAATAAACCATGCTACTGCGTGCCCCCTCCACCCACAAAAAAAAATAATATTAAATAATAACTATTGCACGGGTCACAAAACCTAATATTAGGTAATGATTAAAGAAAGCACTACAGTGAAAGAAATCAAATACTGTCAAGCAGGAACTGGCAAACTATTGCTTTCTCAGCAGACAGCAGAACAAGCAAGACCAAAATGTCATTCTGATTACATCTTCTCACCTTCCCTTCACTTTTAACTGACAGTGTGGCTGAAACTGGTACAGCATCCAGTTTATTCTCTGTTTTTTGTATGCCCTTTTGTTGGGGAGCAATGACTTCAACCAAAGCTATGTCTGCCTGCTGTGTAGCAGTAAGCTGGATATCCCTGTGCAGGAACAATGAACCCCTGCCAGAACCTAAATCGGGCTCCACTTTGATCACATTCATGATGAACTGTCAAGAGTGAAATGCTTATTTAAAAATAAGAGAAGCAACAGCTTGAGCCAATGGTTTAAAGCCAGTAAATTTATATTAAATTCTGTTTTAACTGCAAAACCTGTATTAATCTAAATACAGGGCAAGAAAAAAAAACACTGGAAGAAGTATACCTAACAAAATCTCTCAGCCCTACAAATCGATAACTTAAACTGGGAAACAAATAGTGAACATATTATCCGTAAACTAAGTTCAGTAGGCTTTACTATGAAGACAACCACTTCATTCACAAAAACAGGAACTTCAAAATTATTTTACTTCGCTTACTTCTATTCCTTCATGTCATTTGGAATAAGTTTACGGGGAAATTCAACAGAGAGTAAAAAAAGTGTTTTATCTCCACAAACATAAGAATAATGACGGGCCTTAAAAGAATATTTTATAGAAGATTATCTGTGGCCTAGAAAACCGAAATTAACGGCCGTGATGATCCATTGTGCTGACCACGTGACACCCTCTATCCGCTAAAGTTGGCACTAACTTTGCCGACAAGCGGCATTCACTTGGTCAGTATAGTTCGCTTGTGGACTGAAACCATAATGTGTGTTTTTATAGAAGATTATTTAAGGAGTATAATATTCTACCATTAACAATGATATTTGTTGTGGATATTAAAAAATTTCAAAGAAATTCAGACATACACACAAAACCTTCATATGGCAAACACTACCTTCCATCATTTTCAGAAAGGAGTTTATTGTACTGGAATGAATTAAGTTATTCAATAATATTGCCTTTTACAACTACAATTTAACATATGAAAGTGTTTAATCCAGCATTAATGGAATTTCTTATATTTTACTCCTACTCAATAGAAGAATGTACCTAATTATAAATGATCAGTTGTACATACATGCACATAATAATGGTGACAGGTCTTTGATATAATTATTTTTGTGCAATACTGCATTACGTAAATCAACTTAAGTTTTGGGATACAATGTACAGTCCCACATGCTATGGTGCAATGTTATCTCATTTGTGCAGTTGATTTTTGGTAAACTTGCTGCTGTACCTAACCACTATGCAACAAAGGCATATGTCAATCAAATACAGTCTTGATCTAAGTACAAGACTGAGATGAGTCCTACAAATAAATAAAAAAACTCCATGGCTTGAGTCCACAAGTGAACTACACCGACAGTGACCACCGCTTGTTGGTGAAGTTAGTGCCAACTTTAGTGGATAGAGGGTGTTGTGTGGTCAGCGCAACGAATCCCCACGGCTGATGATTTCGGTTTTTTAGACAAGCCTACAAATATATTGTATACATAAATTCCTAGCAGATATTCGGCTGTCAGTTTAACTACCATATGTTTATAAAGATGTCTGGAAAGCACCTAGTTCTGTCATGTCTCCTGCATTCCTCTTCATAAGTGCTCTTCTAGTACATCAATATCCAGTCTTTTAATATCATCTCTCTCTCATTAGGTTTCTCATCAAAGTCATTGTCCTGCCATCATGTATTCATAATCATCACTTTTTAAACCCTGAAACAAATACTTTTATCTACAGATGCCAGACAGGAACCTTGGAGAGGATCTAGAACGACCCTAAAGAACCAAGTTAAAAGATGACATTTGTTTTTATGATGATGATGATTATGATTACTACTACTGACATGGCATACTACACTAGCTTAAAAACCAAGGCTAACCTCAAAAGCTTGAATGAAAAAAACTGCACACATTATGCTATCTAACCTCTAACTGAAGTCAGGAGGGGATTATGCTCTGCAGTATAGATAACGGGAAGCAAAAGAAGGGATAATGGTTTTTCTTTTCACATGTGGCATATGGCATTACTGTTCTACCAAAACATACAATTACTTTATTTATAAAGTACAACACACTGAATGGTTTACTTTCATTAATCTGTGTGACAAGGAGACAGAATTAGTATATATCCTAGGGAACCATAATTTTCAATTTGATAGTCCTGTCCCGAAGTTAAAAAGTAATTTGCAAGAGATAAAACGATTCTCTCCCGCGCAACACAATTCGAGCTTGTTGACAGATTGCTATGCGACCCTAATCTAATTAAAACAAATTAATTCAGAAAATTTGATTCCAGTTATTAGTAGGTGCATAACGGAGGTAATTCATTCCGCCACACTTCATATTCAATTATACGCGTACCGGCAAACTATTCTAACAATGATATAAATTAAAAATTACATTCACGGTGCTTATTATATTTGCAACACACATACCACTTTCTTCCAACACAGAACACATCTCATATCGCAGAAAGTGAAGTAGCGAGCACGGATTAACGAGAGGTTAGCGAGCATGGCCCCCTCCCATCGATATGATCGATGTGATCCAGTGCCAGTGTGACCGTGGCGGGAGCCATTTTGATTTTTAAAGCGAGAAGAAGGTGTAGATAGAAGTAGTAATGGAGTGGAAGTTTGATTTAATTAAACCAAAATGCAAAATAGTGTGGCGTATGTAATGTAAGTATTAAATTTTACAAACGTGGTGACATAAGATTTTGTATGTAAGTGAACATTTATTGAGTTACGCAAGGAATACGTGAAATGTTCATGTTCCTGTAGTTTGAAGCCCGCTGTGTAGTACTCGTTGCTGTGGCCTGTTGTCGTCTTCAGGTTAGTGGACAAGGAGGTAAGGAGTCCTACACGATCAAACCTATGTTGTTAGAATTAGTTTTGATTCGCTTGTCAGGTTGGTCAGTTGGGAGGGGGCAGGGGGGAGTTTGGTTATGTTAAATTCAATTAAGGTTACAAGATTCTAATTAATTAGTAATATTCGATAATATTTACGTACGTTGAGGTAGTGTGACATTACATGTGTTGTATGTTTGTAACGTAAAAGTTCTCCGTGTATGCTGTGATGATTTGATATAAATTTGTTCAGTAAGCAGGAGACGAGTGTACAAATATTGTTCATCGTACATCTTCGTGTATATATAAATTTGAATCATACAGACTCTTATTAGAGGTGCAGCTGCAGTTCTGCAGTTGGGTTATGGTTGAACATGTCTGTGCTTCAGCTCTGGGGTGGTTGTAAATGTAAATGTAAGCCTGTCACTGTGACCGAAAGAATTAACAAACACACAGTATGTTGCGGAATGAAACAGATTTGTCATGTGATGACAAAGTTATAGATGCTGATTTTATGTGCAAAATAATGATTACTTTTAATATTCGTGTTAGAAATTGAGAATTTGAAGTGTGCCATTATGGGATCATATTGGAGAGAGAGGGAAGGGCTAATGTTATGCAGGTTCATATGATTTGTTATTTGCTAGAAGAAAAGATTAATATTATTACAGGTACTTACAAAACAGCACTTCACAGTATAGATTAGTTTGTATTTGGCTCATGAAATTTGGCATTGTAGGCGAGTTTAAAAGTAGGTACAAATTTTGTGTTAAAAGCTTTTCTGTGTTGGTATGAATGTAGTATAAGGGGTGGGCCTTCTTGGCCCTTGCACCGCGAATGCCAAGTATTATGCAGGAATGTTATGTAACCATACATTTTTTGTGTCATTGGAAGCCACTTGGAAGTTTTACATTTTGTTGAAATTAAAAGTGGATCAAGTTTGAAATCGTACATACAGATTCGCATGCAAATCAGAATCTGTTTTTTAATGCTATTCATGTAATTGTTTCAGGCCCGTGACTCACCAGCACAAGACCTCAAGTGACTCATCTGCCAGAAGACGAAGGAGTTATTGTACAGTCATAACGAGCAAGTTACAGCATTTTTCTGACATCCATTATGCTCTCCTGTCATCCCTGCATGGCTCTTTCAGGTAGCCTTTTCTCTTGCAGCTATGCCACCAGAATCTCTGCATGTCAAGACAAGTGAAAATCAGTGCATGTCAGGACTGAAGTGAATATCTGTGCCTGTCAAGACTGAAGTGAAAATCTGTGCATGTCAAGACTGAAGTGAAAATCTGGGCATGTCAAGGCCAAAACATGACAGGAAGATACTGTTACAGTATTACAGGAAGAAATGTCAGTTTGATGTGTGTGACCATGTCAGACTGATACTTATGTGTCCAACGAACAGCCTCTCTTGCTTTACTATGTTTGCATGCAGGAGGGTAACACATGTTCGTGATATCATCCGACTTTGTGTCTTGCCTTGATGCCGTTGATGTGCAACATCAGTTCTCTTGCTTTTCTTTATTGACTCTATAGTTCCGGCCCAACCAGCCATCTTCAGGTATACAGGTTGTTGTGATTGCAGAATCTGCTGCTCACTGTAATGCTGTTTTGTTTCTGTTATGTGGAGGCCTTGGATTGCATCTGGTTTTGTGGGTTAGTCATCTGCTTTTTTAGTTAGGTGTCCTTGAGCTGCTGGTCTTTGCTTCATGGTTTTGTTTGGCTGTGGCTGTCTTGAATGTTCTTGCTGGGGCAGGAATTTGTTGTGTTGATGGCCAACCACAGCACAACAAATATGCCCAGCTCAAGGACACCTAAACGAAAAACAGATGGTTAACCCACATAACCAGATGCAGTCCGAGGCCTCTACATAACAGAAACAGAACAGCATCACAGTGAGCAGCAAGTTCCTTGATCACAACAACCTGTACACCTGCAGATGGTCGGTTAGGCTGAAATATGTCATGACGTTAAAGAGAAAACTGTGAGAGAATGTTAACTGACGTTGCACACAGACGGCATCAAAGTAAAACGCAAAGTCAGATCTAAGCAGTGCAACAGGATGCTGCAATGTAACATTATGCCTGATATCAGTTTTTATGTAAAATTCCTTCATAGTCTTCTGGCTTATGACATTGTTACCAAAGTTTTCTGCTGCTCTGTTGAAGCCAGGGGCAGTGTGTTCTCTGGTAACCATCTACCAGGCAACAGAGTGTCATAACTTAGGAGACCAGAATGAGATTTTTCACCGTTGTGAAAGATTAAAATCTGATACTGTGTAAACTTGTTTGTATATTCAAATCTGGTGGATACTGTAAGGAAATAATCACAAAACCATAGTAGTTCTGTTTTTCCTTATAAAGGAAAGAACTTTAGAGGTAAAGCTATCCCTATAAGAAGCCATGGAGGCCTCTAGGGTTGTGAGACATCAAGGCTCCCATAATTTCTCTAAGCAATCAGCTCACAAATAGCAGGAAGGTTGTCAGCCTTACGTGCTGGCCACCCTTTACCCCCCTTCCCCTAAGATTGGTGGTACTCGTTTCTGTTAGAGGCCAATTACAGACACTGCACAGTGTAGATAAAAGTACTCGTAATTGCATATGGACAAACAGAACATAAAATCAAAAACTAATTAAATGTAAGCACTGGAGCAAAGACACATTAATGTAATTAATAATTCAGTTTAATTCATGTTTATTTACCTGCAAACTGAACAGCACAGAGGCAAATTACAAAGTTAGCATGAGTACATAGAAATACACAAAATAACTAAAAATACAAAATATAAAATAAGACAGTCTATATAATGGCAATAAATTAATAAAAATTCCAAGAAAAATTAACGTTAGCATTAACAGGTGAGAAAAATAAAATAAGTACATTTTGAATGGTTATGCTATTATGTGGCGTGATAGGACAATACCCATACATACACACATAGAAGTTAATAATAATAATAAAAATAAAAACAATTAAATTCATGTTTATTTACGTGCAAGCTTAACAGCACAGAGGCCAGTTAAAAGGTTAGCACAAGTACATAGAAATACACAAAAATAATTAAAAAACAAAATGCAAAATTTGAGAGTCTATATAATGGCAATAAATTGATAATAATTCCAAGAAAAATTAAAGGTAACAGGAGAGAAAAATAAAACAAAACCAATATATGTACATACACAGGCCGTGCCATAGCTCAAGCGGTTAGTTGCTGGCTTCCCACCATGGAGGCTCGGGTTTGAGCCAGGATGTGGTCAAGTGGGGTTTGTGGTGGACAAAGTGGCGCTGGGGCAGGTTTTCTCCGAGTACTTCGGTTTCCCTGCCAATCTTCATTCTACAAAATTCTCCATCATCCTTATCATCCAGGGCAGGCTACAATAGGGCAATCAATGGCCACTCTACCGAGTGGACCCAGTCAGACTCCACCCCCCACTAAGCGAATTTAATTTAAACTTTATGTACACACACATAATATTAGGAGTATTATCAAATATTATTAACAGTCTTAGATTCATTGTGATTGACAGAAACTGTTCGACTTGCAAATATATCGAGATCTTTACTCACCCTGTTGGTAGCATAGGCACATCGAGCAGAAGGACAGTGCTTATTAGAGGGACAAACACCAAGCAATGAGAAGTCTGTAAGATTCCTGGGAGGAACACGAAGGCTAACATTTTCCAAAAGAGAAGTGCAGGATTTAAGACGAAAGACTGAACAAAAAAAAAGTGCATCAAGGTGATGTCTCCATTTATGTAAAGAATGTAGACTTAAGTTCTCTAAAGCATCAGTATAAGTATATGGAATATGAAGGAAAAAGCAATAGAAACAGACGGACGCAAACTTCTGCTGGATGTGCTCAAGCTTTTTGGCATCAGTCAAGTTGATGGAGTTCCAAACTTCCGAGGCATATTCCAACTTGGACCGGACTAAAGTAAAGTATAGTACATACAGACACTCCAGGGAGGAAAATCTGTAGATAATGGAGCGAATAAGGCCTAAAAGCTTTATGCATTCAGAAAATATGTAATTAACATGTGTGTGTGAAAATGTAGCTTTGAATCAAAGAAAACACCCAGATCATTAATGCTGCCGGTGCGTGTAATGATAGCATGGCAAAGCTGATATTTGTAGCTCAAAAAATTTAGCATTTTCTGTGACAGAACTGTGTCTATATTCTCATTGTTGTATGTTGCAGTTCTCACAGGCAACACACATTTTGATGGAGTGTGATGAGGGAGTTCCATAATGAAACCTGTCTAAAGCATATCAGCTTCCACTTTGGTTGGCCTAAATTACTTTCATGTATGTCTTACAGAAGTGTTAGAAGTTACAAATGTTTGGTAAAGTTTCTGTGTATACGTAAAATGGACTCTGTATGCTTGCACCTTACCTCTCTTTTGCTAGTTTCTATCGAATAAAGTACAGCCAATGATATCTCTTTCCCAAAACTTGTCCTGTAAACTGTGGCTCTCATATCTGCATACAGTATCAGCATGTGACAATTTGGATTAATTGACAGTGGGCTTTTCTAAACACCTGGTAACTTGAAAAACTGTTGTCTTCTTAGATCTTGAGGCCTTGTAGACTGGCAGAATGTTACCACCACTTTGGAGGAACATGTAAAGTAATGAGACCCTGAAGATGGAGGCCTCACATTCCTCA